ACTGCTCTTCTGTGCACGCTCGATTTTCTTAAGTCCTTTATTTGGTACCCTTTGCCACTTGGCCACTTTTGCGCTGTTGGGGTTGGGCTCGCTCTTCAACCAGTACTAGTACCCACTGCTCTTCCCACCACCACCACCACCACCACCACCACCACTCTTGCGGCTATTGGTCATAGTTTATGACCTGAATTTCTGTTCAAGGTAACACTGTCCACCCCTTCTCGTACAGTGTACTTACTATCTCTCCACACAGTGTATCTGCATTTAATACCTAAAGGTGAGTATATGCGCATTGCCTCTATTCCAACGCCTCACTGCAGCCTCAGTGATGTCACCCGACACGGCTTATGTGACGCGGCATGGTGAGAAATCATTTGGTCTTGTATTATATGATCTCTAATTCATTATCAAGTCTTCGCTGGTGCACCGCTTGCTATCAATTGTCTACCTCGTGATACTGCTACCCAGTATATGAAACACCAATCATCCACATGCCTGATAATGTGCGTATTGTTTAGTGAGGAGCCAGGCTATTGAAAACCCACCCAGCACCCGGGAGAGATGCAACTCGGTGGAGTGCAACAAGTCGTCATCACTGGTATGTGATATCTATCTCCGCTCGGCTGATATTGATGATTCACCCCAAGCCATACTGGTCATGACGTTCGTCATTACAGGCTCATCGCTAGGTGCTATCATCCATCCGATCATGCTCAATAACCTCCTCAACAGTCCTCTTGGTTTTTCCAACGGCGTCCGTATAAGCGCAGGGTTGATCAGCTTATTTCTCTTAACTGCGTGTTTGTGCATGTGAACTCACCTTGATCCGCCGGCGATACCGGTGAACTATATCGTGGCGGCTAGAAGATGTATTCACGATGTACCGTTTGTGCTCCTAATAATAGGGTGAGACCTGCAACGTACATTCCTGACTTTCTCCAAATAACCATTCTGCAGAGGCTTTCTTTTCCAGATCAGGTTCTACTACCCGTTATTCTTCTTTCAACTAGACTCTATCCAGCACGGTATCAGTGTTCATTTTTCGTTTTACTCTGTGAGTTCCAGCAATACACGAGTCATCCGCGGCATCTGCTGACAGAGTCTCTAGTTAGTGATATTAAATGGATCCAATTGCTTAGGGCGATTCACGTCAGGGTTTATTGCGAGGTTCACGTGACAGCTGCAACGTGCAGGTTACATGCAGCGATATGAAAGTGTTAGCACTGATGACGGACGCCGGACATCGTCTTCTCGCACGATACCGCAGGATGCAGAACAGCGGGGATCTCGAACAATCCATAAAGCACTTTGAACGGGCCTCGGATCTCTGTCCCATGGATCATCCCTACCGCCCTGCAGCGCTGTTCAATCTAGCCGTGGCAAAGTCTGTTAGTTGCCAAGCGGACGGAAGATACTTCGACCTCGACATCCCCATCTCTCTTTTTCAAGGGGCCCTCGACTTGCACCCCACTGATCATCCAGACCGAAGTGTCACATAGCTCTATCTTGCCATCGCTTTGCTCTCGCGGTTCGCGAAACGGAGATTTCAAATGGATGTTGATACAGCTAAAGAATTGCTGAGCGACGTAGCCGATGTCATATAGTATGTACTACAAGAATAATATGTGCTTATACTAGTACCATACCACTGCAATAAGCCACTATAAGGTGCTGGAAATTGTTCAGGCCTGCTCAGCAGCCATCATATGTCAGTCATGATGCATGACCCATCAGCTGATGGTTAAATGAGCAAAAATTCAGTTTCATGATCTTACCATCTCGGATGACCTGGGGCTGGGCTGGGCTGATGGGCCATGGTGGCTATGGTGAAGCTGATACCGGATGATAAGACCTGAGCATACCTTATCTAGGTTTGGGACTTTTGGTGATGTCAGGCACTAAGCAGCGGCGCCATTTAGTGGGCGCCGTAGAACTCCTCAAAGAAGTCGAGGGGACGACTTAACGATTCGTAGCAGGCTGGAAGTCGACTTATGGATCAGTGCTTGAGGTCGAAAACTAGTAAGTCACTGATTCAACTGTGGCCACTAGTATTCAGTACTCAGGGTTCGAGATAAAATTATTCGGGTAAATATTACATAGCAAGCGCGTGACTCGACTGGCCCGATTGAGTTAATGACACGCTTGTGCATTAGCAAGGAGTTTTATCCCGAACCCTCGTATATATCCGAGTCGTCTCTTCTCCCTGTGATCTCTTCTCTCTATTTTGAGCTACATAAGGCCATATTTTGCATTAATGATAGCGTTCTAGCCCAATGATTGAGGCTGGGGCGAGGAAGTGCGCACGCGGCGACAGGCATTAAGGAAGTACTTGGGACGAGAGCAAGGGGGAGGTGGCCATGAGGGATTGGCCTGGAGGTCCAGCTGGTTGGTAACAGTGAGGCTGAGACCGAATTTCATTTTTGACATTTCTGATATCGTGCCGACAGAATGTCACCTAGTTGAGAGACTCTGGATGAGGTGTCACGCTCCCCAGGTCCGGGCCAACAAGAGAGGAAGCAGATCATCGATACCAATCAGCCTGTACAGTCTCATAGAGAATTATCAGAATGGAAACCTTTTTGATGGTCGCATTGCTCCTAGGCCTGTGTTAGATCGGTGGCTACATGATTTTACTGATTTCTTCAACTGACACATCAGTGACAGTGAGTGCATTGAAAAGAATTTCCAGAAATCACGAACAGACATAAAGCAGAACAAAAGCAGGAAGATCGAATATCCCGCGCACACACGACACTGCTTTGTGAATTGAAAATTCACAGCCAGCATCACCCAAAATCTGATTTTTGTTCGACTCTGACTTCCTTCTCTACTTGGTTTCACACAGCATACTAATTTATATCGATCAAGACGGGGGGTGAATGATCATCTCCATGGTGCATTTCTCAGCGCTAGATGGTGGTATATCTAGCACGAACTCCATCATTATACATCCACCAAGTTTTTCACTCACTCACATCATCCCTCGAACATGACCATAATATTCAACGCTCCCCGCTGGTGGCCAGTAATCGATTTCAATCGTAATTTCAGTTACTTCATAGGTTCGTGGGGAGCCAGGCAGATGTTGTCCGTGACGCCTCGATCTAATCTTGATACAGTTGCCTCCTCTGCTGCAGTGATATATGATTGGGGTGAGTGAGATCATACTTAAGAACGACTCATTGATATCCTTATGTTTCTAGCATTGACATTTGGGCAAGAGGTACGCTGATGCCACTACCAGAGTAGTCATGAATGACTTAATATTATGTGTAGCTCGAACTGGTCTGGGTGAGCACCGTAGCATATCAGAAGGCCTCGACAAGATGATGTACTCAATTCTGGGCAGAATCGTCGCTGGTCTTTCATGACAGTCCTGTATATCGGCGTGCGTAACTCATGTTATACGCGAAGATGAGAAGTTTTGCTGAATTCAAAATATTACCAGGTGCGCTACATGGGAATAGTATACATTATGTATGCCTTCAAGTCTGGCATTGTGCTCTGTGCTGATACTCAGTCATTTCTCACAATCAGCATCAACATGCTGCGTATGTCCCTTGACCTATACCGCGCGTGTTTCTGCTGATTGACAGCATACAGAATCTCTTCCGACAGTCTCGTTGACAAAACCAGTGAGTATTTTATATTGATGTCTGGCATCGTCGCCCAATTGACTGCTATGCAGGAGTGAGTAAGGTTCTCGAGCAGCTTGTTGATTTAATATAAAATTACCGCAACAGATGTGAGATTGTGTGGAACATCTGACCCTCGGACACTCAACGCCAACCCAACTTGGGATTTTCAGGTAATGATATGTACTCCGTACTAAATTGGATAGGTGTGGCGGTAAATGCTATGTTAGGTGGTGAGCCACTTTGCTACAATACCTCAGCGATGTTTACTTGGCTGATAGTACATTATCCAAGCGATCATGATTACTCGTTTGTATGCCATGCATCAGCGATCCAGAAACGTGCTTGTCTTTCTCGTTGTAATCTTCACGGCTGTCACAATTGCATGCGGCGTAATGACTGCAATTATAAGCAGGCATACTGAAGCGAGTAAGCGTTAAATTATACTTGAAGGGCTCGAGCGTATCATGCTGATCAGATGAATACTAGAGGAACTCATTCTCTCCGGCACCTATCAGTGCACTAACTATGATAACGAGGCAGACGCCTTGATTCTGCTTTCCATGACATGGATACTCTCCACTGTATGGGAAGTCCTCGCACTGTGTCTTGCAACCTGGATTGCTGTAAAACACTTCCGTGAACTGCAACGACCATCGAAGGGATGGACAATTGGGGGGACTGTTTTACAGCGTTAATACAGACTCATATCGTCTACTTCGCAAGGTGAACTCCTAATTTAATATGGTTTAACTCGCCTGCTAAAGTTCCGTATCTGCCAGCTTTGCTGCTGTTTCTTGTTTCAATCTCGGTTTTTTGTCTCCACAGGCGGTACGCCCATGTATCATTGATATCTGCATGCGATCACGACTTATTTATCACTTCTATAGAACTCACTTGCTGTGGGAGCTCAGATCTATGATGGTGTTCGTCAAATTCTCTCGGTCATACAGATGTTTGTGCTGGGACCACGCCTCATCCTTAGTGTTCGACAATATCATGCAAAGCTCATGGACAACTCTGATGCGGAGGCGGATATGATTTCAATAGCTTTCCAGGAGCGCACAGTTGTGTCAACTGAACTTTAAGACGGTCGCTCCTCTCTTTCTGTTATCTGTCTCGATGACATTCTTCGATTCCCCTTCCCTCGTGACCGACTTTCCTTGTTCCTGAAGACTGATAGTGAACACTCTTATGCTTGCTAGTCTACTATGTAGTCGCTTTCTCTTGCATCTACTGTGCAATTTGTCGTCCAATCGTACTCTGAAAATATTTTTGCCTGTGCATGGTTGCGCCGTAGTACTGATTCGGTATGCCGAATTAGTTTGGTCTTTGCACATATGGGTCCTCGTCAACCAGTATCAGTGAAGCCCATCAATGTCTCTTGTCATTATACACTAGCATTAGAAACAGCACTGATGTTTACTGCTACATCAACTGCACTAAGTACAGTACATCAAAATGTCAGAGTCCGACCTGGAAGCCGCTTCGTAACGATATACCCTCATTATGCTACCAAAACGCCACCGGCTAGTAGTATAGCTCCAAGTACGAATGAATTTGAGCTCGATGCAGACGTCAAGGCAAAATTCTTATTCTATCAGGTACACGCAAATGAGAAGAGCATGCATCATATTCAGAATGAACATTACCAGTTGTTGCGTGCCCTTAAATTCCTGACAGCTCTGACCGCAATTCAGATTCATATTGTTCGTGATGAGCGATGCAAGTTGGGGATCTATTGGTGTGGGTGACGCTGCAACTATCGGCAAAGTCAATTTTTGTAAGATACAGAGCTGAGGATGATATGCTTACCCATTGCAGATATTGAAAAGAGGATGACCCAGAGGGACATGATGCGGAGGGTCACTGAGGACATGTTGGACGGGTATAGAATGGATTGAGGTATATGCGATGGGTTGTGTTTGAAGAGCAGCGGGAAATGAGACTTAATGAGTGAACGAGACGGAGACCTAATCAATAAGCCGAGAGATACGAGGGAGGGAATGGTAAAATCACGACTGGGTCAGTTGCTTCTTATACAAAAACGCTCACCATGTTACCTTCATCCGAAAATAGCAGGTACGCGCTCGCAAGGGTCACGTGTTTTGAGGTTTCTTGTATTTTCGGATTCAAGAGGAGACAATGTCACGAAGAGGACGACCTAAAGAACTATTGGTTACTATAGTAATACAACATCATGCGGTACCAATACAGAGGTCGTCACAAATTAAAGGGGTTGAATACTTGACGGGATCTTCTGATGAATCTGTGATCATGTAGACGACCACTTCGTTGCACAGTTGCATGCCCGCTGCTGATTGGTACAGTCGCAGCTGACACCTGTACCTTTGCAGTAGCACTGATGTGGTGATGGTCAGGGCGAGTCAGAAGTGCGATTAACTACGTACTTGGGAAGAGTGTTGCTTGTTGACACAGCTGTCACAGTTGTCGCAGTTACAATTATTCTTGGGGCAAGTACAGCCAATACCCGATGGACCACAGTCGCACTGATGTGATGAGGACCGGGGGTTAATTAGGAGTGCAATTAACGACATACTTGTGAGGAGTGTTGCTTGTTGACACAGCTGTCGCAGTTGTCACACTTGCAATTATTCTTGGGGCAAGTACAACCAGTGCCTGAGGGGCCACAGTCGCACTGATGTTATGAGGACCAGGGCAAATTAGAAGTGCAATCAACGACATACTTCTGGCTTGTTGTCACACTTGTCGCACTTGTCGCAGTCGCAACTATTCTTGGGGCAAGTACAGCCAGTACCCGAGGGGGCACATGCGCTATGGACGAGTTTAAGCCTATGATAGAGCATTTAGCAAGTGAATACTCACCCGCAGTCACTGATGCAAGTGCAGTCTTTGTCCATCTTAATGCAGAGTGCGTTGGTTGAATGTAGGTTTCAGTTTTGAAGGTAGTGGTTTGAATGTGAACGACAAAGATGAACCAACATTCTTCTTATATGTCGCATTTAATGACGTCGTTGTTGAGTTGCCATTTCAGCATCAGTGGTCTTCTCAGTGACTTTGGTCCGTAGGCCAGCTGATCATGGTAGTACGTATGCGTAGAAGAAACTCGACAGTTCGTTCCCACGATGAGTACTTTGCAGAATACTATAATTAGTAAGTCTTCTCGGTGGTCTCGTAGGGCCTCGTATACGGTGATGATATTTGATTGTTTTCTATTTTCTTGCTTTGGAAACTGTTAAACTGCTATCCCAGTATCGGTTTAGTGAAGTTCATCATTGGGAATAGCCAGAATGAATTCCTACCCGGCTGAGCTTTTGGTCCAGCTCGCTCCAGTAATGTTTGTTGCAGGCCTTGACCTACCATCTGCACCGTCAACGTCCCCTCCAAGTACTCCACAATCGCCAGGTCAAACTCAATCTTCCCCGCCTGCACCTACCAAGATTCAGGATCATTTCGCGAGCCTCATTGTGCGCCTCCGAGATGCCCTTCAGTCCCAGCACAAAGTCGCGATATGGGCACCAGAGCGCACAAGGGCGTTTCAAATGATCCTCGTCGGGAAAGACGTCCGATTCCCTCCTCGCAAGCTTGTTCCTCCGGAGGATCTTGCATATGCATCTGCTCATTCACCGCTTTCGCCCTTGACACCTTCGTCACCCTTGTATCCTGACGGCCTAATTGCGCCTATATGGATAAGGAAACACACTCAGCTATTACCGAGCGTCTTTGTTCTATTCCTCAGATTGTTTGAGGCACCTGCGATACATGCTCGATCTCCGTTGGACCCACCAGACCCGGAACATGAACGCGATAAAACAGAGGAGGAACGAAGAAGAGATAATGATCTCAGCGCTGAGATTGCAGCTCGAAAGAAGACGACAAATGAGCGCGGTATCAAATTGACCGTCGTGCTACTTGCAACTAGAAGGATGCTCGGTATATCGTCCATTTGTCATAGTCAAGTTGAGTCTCTAACTGTGTAATAGATGACCCGTCACTGGATAGCCGCCTCACCTTCATCAGAAGACAGAGCGGGCTTGACTCCCGTGCAGCCTTGTTTGTCCTTAGTCCAGTTAGTACATCTGAATTGAATGATTTTGCACGCAGGTAAGGGCATACTAATCTTTTTCTACGGCTGCAATTCATGATATTCTAGTTTACAAGACGCCCTGTATGAACCTGCACTCGAATACTATACATCGCACTCCAAGCGTGTCAGGCGTAAGCGTAATCGGCACTCCCAATCTGTTTCATCGTACAACCCTCCGGCTCTTGTTTCCATGGGCGTCGCGAACACCCGCCCACTACGTCCCGAAGGGTGGACCGTGCGGTATGAATACAAGATGGCATGTTTTGCAGAGTTCAGAGGTGAAGACGAGGTTGCGCTCAAGTCCGTCACGTTCTCGTTGTCAAAGAGATTGGAAAACTAAGTTTCTTAGACACTATCAGGATGCATACGCGACGCTCATGATTATGTTCGGATCGACTGCCATCCTCCCCCCTCGAACCAAGCGCTGGGCAGAGGCCAAAGTCCTTGCAGACGCCATAAATGTGAAGGTGCGAGTGTATGCGCCTTGTATGATCACTCTTACAACTGGACCGACAGATAACCAAACTATATCTGTACAATAGCGAGCACTCGCTTGCACTTTCGCACCACAACTCCCACATGCGCCGGTTCGCAGATTTTTCACGGGGATGGGGCATAGGCGAGGAGACATTTGAGTATTGGAGTTGGATGGCGAGACAGTACGTCTCTCATATCCAAACATATCCAATAAATTTTCATCATGTCTTCCAGGCACCGCGTCCTCGCAGAGCTTCTAGAACAAGGATCGAATTCTTCATTGACGTTCCCCACAAACTCATCTCCTTCGCTTACGGCTGGTGTGACATCGGCAGGCACGCCCGTAGAGCTAGACGCCGTTCGAGCGTTCGGGTTGAATCCTAGCCACGCCTTGCAGCATCCAGGGCATTACTACTACATGGCCGCCCGGTGCACAGAAGCACGCAGGGAGAGGTTCTTGGTCAACGAGGTAAGTTTGTTGTCTCCTAACATCGAGCCTTCAATCATATCCCACCCTAAGGAGGCTATCTCGCAAGGGACAAGTGCGGCCCCAGGATACGCAAATGAGAAGAAAGTTGACCATTTGTCATTAATTCTCGAGGTCTGCAGTGCTCTGTTTGACTTGTAATGCAGTTAAATGATGACGATTTTTTTCGCCTCAGCTCTATACCAAATCCTACGAGGTGTTCAAGAAACATAGCTCCACCACGAGTCAAGGACGATTGACACTCTGGATCGCTTACCGCATCGCGCATACATACTACGAGTCTGAAAAGTTTGATGTCGCAGTACGGTATGCATTTTCATCTTTATCGTACAAGAAATAAACCAAATGGCGGTGTATAGATTCTTCGAGCGGATAGCAAAGACGTACCGAAGGGAGAAATGGAAACACATGCTCAGACCGCTTTTGTCAACGTGGTATGCCTGTGCGCAGAAGCTTAGCGACGTGGAACTTATGGCGACGCTCCTCGTGGAGATGATTGGGTATGGTAAGTAACGTATAATGCTTTGAAGGTGGTTGCACAGTGTGATGACGTCGTTCAGCGCAAGATGTCAATGAGTCGAGAACCCTACAGGATGACCTATTGGCGGTACTCAAGGTAAGGCACCCTGCCTTATCTTTGAGGCGATTGGAATTGAATTGGTTCATGTAGAGTTCGGTTCCTGTATCACCAGGAAAGCCACTCATTGTGGACCTCAAAGAATCTGACCCGTTATGTGAGCTAATGGAAACATGTCCTCTCATGTCATTTTTACTGATTGACATGGAGTGGACACCATGCTGGTCTTTTGGGTGCCCGAAGTGCAGGTTGGTGAAGAGGCCGGATTTCAACTGTCCCTTTCTACACCAACGAACATAGATCTCTCCACTCTTCCGATAGACTCCGTGACTATTACGCTCTCCGACGGTTATTGCCCTGTGGTACTCCGACATTCGCCTCCCACGGACGGCCAAGTGGCAGATAGGGCTGTCCGGCTGGTGAAAATTGGAGAGGTAGTGCCAGAAGATGAAGATGAAGAACTGGAGGAAATTTGTGCTGATCTTCGCTGGAGGCCAGGCGAACGACTTGTGGTCTCTGGGAGTATATCATCTGAAGCTCCTGGGCTGCTTACCGTGAGTGTTATTAGTAAGGTATGGCAGATAGTTTATGTCCGTCTGCAGGTCGTGGGCATCACTGTGGTACTTGCACAAAACGGATGGACTGTCGAAATGCCACACGAGCCATGTGCCTCTCATGAGATATCTACACTCGTGCCGCGCTGGCTGACTTCACTCCAGCCCATCCGGTTTCTTCAGCTTGGAAGAGATGACTGTTCTAGTGTTGTGTGAGTCGCCTCCGATGAGCGCAATAGATATCGTGAACAACTGTCTTTGATCCAGTGTTCGACATCGTCCTCACGAACTCGCCGTCTCGCTATCTCACCAAGCACCGGCACTACTCGATGAAGAATATCCAATCGCCATCGATATCACAAATGTTGATGAGCGACATCTGGATGTTGTTGTTGACGTCTTGTTGCAGCCGACGGAAGTGGATCAAGCAGGTCAGATAGTTCATTTTCTTACCAATCTACAGTACTCATGTCCCTTTCTAAAAAGCTCAGTACATCGTCTTCAACGACCAGCGTTCATCCGGATTGATCAAAGGCATTCGACTCGGCACCATCGCCCCGGGCGTGTCGGCTACCAAGACTCTTTACCTCGTGGGAAGCGGTGCTCCTGGTGATCGCATGTTAGACATATCTATTCAATCCACTTCAGTCCAGCCTGAATCCACGAGTGAAGGCGATGAAGACGCAGAACCCCACAGCTCGAGCTCTTTGAGTGAGCACGCGACTATCGATTCCTGCGAGAAGTTGCAAACTATCGTTATTCCGACATCCGGAGCTCTGGCGGTCACATATGACGTGGCGTACAGGAGAAGCAAGGACCCTATGCCTGCTCTGGCAGATCTGTCTACAGTAGAAGACGACTTTTGGGATGATTCCTATGGCGGGATAGCTGTGGTTACAACAAGAATAAAGTGTTTAGCCCCTTGTGGCTTGGTGGTTGAGAGCTTGAAGTTGCATCGTCAGGTGGGTAGAATGAATTTGGTGCCACTACTTTGGTAATTAATCCCTCAAAAAGAATAATCCGCTTGCAAAGGTACTTGACTGCTCGTCAGATGATAACAGTGATGATATGTTTCCAGATGGTGAGTCTTACCATATGACCATATGATTTGGCTAGATAAATGTATCAGAATACCTCCCTGGCGATGAGTTCTGCAATGTGAGTAGGATCTCACTCAGTCCACGGGAGGAGCAGGTTTTGGGCGAAGAAAAAATCACTGGTCCTGGCAACTACAAAGTTGTCTGGCGAAGGTAATGTTGTATAATTGCGACATCGACGATGATTCTTAAACATACGCGACAGGATGCTTCCTGACGGAGGTCGTGGAAGGGAGTCGACCACGCGGTTTACACTTCCGACACTCATGATTCCGCAGGACGAGTTAATCGCCCTTCTCGACGCCCCTAGCTTTGCAAGGCTCCACGTGCCGACGACCATATACTTAACAGTCCGCAATCGGCACTCCTCTCGCTCCGCCAATATCACTGTTGCCCTTGATCTCGATCCCTCTGATGCGTTTGTCGTGGCTGGCTTGCGGAATGGTCGCCTTCCGATACTTTTACCGGGTTCCGAGGAAAAGCTCTCGTGGAATTTGATACCGATCGAATGTGGTCATGTCAAGATTCCACGTATCAAGGTTATGAATGTACGACGCGCTACTCTGCCTTCGCAAGGTGTTGGCGTGCCGAATACGGAAGATGATATGGAAGGAGAGGCGGTAAAGGTGGTTGATGTGCGTGCTGACCGGAACACTGCAAGGGTACAGAGCGCGGATGATGGCACTGTTGCAATTCCTCAGCAAGATGGCTCGAGTACAATACTAGTTCTACCATGATTATGATCATGATCCGAGCAACCCAAGCCATTACTAGTTTGACATCTCGCGTGGAGCAAATATAAAAGGAAGCAGTGGCTGCACCGTCGTGAGAAAACTCATCAGCTGACATCATGGCTTACAGTACTTATTGTACCCCCTGAGACGAGTCGGAGGCTAATCTTGCGCAGTTTCCCCCATCCAGCGACACTGACATGGCTCTCCCCGACGAGAATCTTTATCCTACCGCAACAGGAAACGCTGCTGAGACAGTAGCGGAACACCAAGCGAAGCAGGATTTGGTGTTCTACTCTGGGTGGGTGAGTTTCTCCACTCCATCATACCATGACGTTGAGCGCTCACATGCGAATGTGCGTCTCATCCAGTTCTGTCCTTTCAACCAGCGGGTCTGGATTTCCTTAGAGGAAAAGGGCATTCCATACCAATACAAGGAAGTCAACCCTTACAGAAAGGAGAAGCATTTCCTTGGTACGTGGTCGACACTTATGCCTAACGTCCGCTCATCACACGAGCACAGATATCAACCCCAAGGGCCTCGTCCCCGCAATCGAGTACCAGGGCAAGGCTCTTTACGAGTCGCTCATCCTGTGCGAGTTCCTTGAGGAGGCTTACCCTAACCATAAGCCTCACCTCCTCCCCGCCGATCCATTTGAGCGCGCGCACACACGCCTGTGGATCGACCACGCGTCGAAGACGATCATTCCAGCTTGGTATCGTCTTCTCCAAGCACAAAGCATAGAACAACGAGACGCTGCGCGCCAGGAACTCTATGATGCGCAGAGAAAGCTCGCGCAGCAGGTCAAGGGCCCGTACTTTACAGGAAAAGAATTCGGTTTGATCGATGTCGTTATTGCGCCATGGGTAGCCCGGGAGTATATTCTTGCTGAACACCGGGGGTATGACAGAGCGCAAGTAGGTGATGGTTGGAGTGAGTATGCGGAACGCTTGGCTACGCGCGAGAGCGTCACTAAAACCACGAGCGTAAGTGTTCCGAGCTCAAAGTTGTTTTTCTTGCTCATGTATTGGATTTTTGACGTAGGATGAAGACAAGCTTCAGGTTATCTATGATCGGTATCTTCGCGACGAAGCTCAAAGCGAGGTTGCAAAGGCTCTCAGAGCTGGCAGGGCTTTACCTTAGTACGAAACAAGTTGACATCATGAATGGTTAATTATCTAGCATTTAAACATACAAGAAATCTGTTATGCATAAATCCTGAGACTTCATATTGCACGATCTAAGTATCAACATCATGGCGGGCCCTGATAGATGTCAATGCGGTCTGTCGAATCTACCATCGTATCAACACGAGCTTGTCTTGCGGAAATGGTATCCTGTCGGACACGAGGACAAGAAACGTACTGCTGCTGACAATTAACACGTACTTATCTTCCAACTCATCTACCTTACACGGGTGTCCAGACTCCGAACTTGGAAGGGTCCCTGAGAGTCGAGGCGTCGAAGACCGAACTGATTAATTGTATCCTCAGAGAAATCTTGCAAGCAAAGTAATTCAATCTTCAATCTTATCGTACAATATCCAAACCACCTTCATTAGCCGAATGATATCATACTGTTGCATAATTAGCATAATTATAATGTAAGATTAAAACATATCAATGTTGCCTAATGAATCAGCTCACTATTAGCAGCGTACGACTGCCAGGGATATTAAATTCCAGCCTTGTCGGAGCTGTCGGCGAGTCCTTGCCAGAGTCTGGGCAACGGCAGCAGTTGTTCCATTTCTTTGAGGCTCTGCTTGCACGTTCCAACAGATTCCTGAGCGCAGATGAACAGGAACGGTTACCAGATGATAAAGCCGTTGAGGCGCTTGATAAGAGAGTTCGTTGACTCTGTCATGCAAATCATTGAGCGAGGTGAGTTCAACGGAGGCGAATAGGACTCACTAGTTGGTTTGTGATCCATTCCAGATAAGCTTTGAGCTGTCGCAGGTTGATAAGAACAGTCTCCAAGCCCGCAACAAAGGCCTCTAGGCTTTCTTCCTCAACAACTCTGGGATTTAGTCTTTGACCGGTAAAAATGCCCCATATCGAGCGTCTTGCTTGGCGGCGTTGCATGTTCGTCAGAACTTCTGGAAGATTGCGTGATAACTGGTGATGGAGAGCTCCCAGGTCGGGTATAATGCTCTCCGTCTTTGATAAAATAGAGGAGTATTCAAGAAGCAGATTAGAAGACGCCAGTAGGTACACGCTATCTATACGTGATTCCCAGACAGCACTTCTTGTAGGAAAGGCCGTTTGACTACGCTTAGAGTGATATGATACCTCGTCTAGGGCATGGGAGATCTGACACCAATGAGTGCCATGATATTATGAAAAGCAATTCGACTTACTGTTCTCCCAATGAAACCGTGCGGGGACAGGGTCTGGATGAGAGTGGAGTCAAGACCTCTGAAGTCGACAGTGAGATCGACTTCTGTTTTACTTCCCCCGGATGGAGGGTTGCCTCTGGACCTGCTCAGAAAGCGTTGCACACTGATTGTGGTTGAGCTTCGATATCTCGAGGCAGTAGAATTGCTACGTACTTGGCATGATGATGTGCAAAAAATGCGTTGTCGCCTAGTCCCTCGACCAACGTTAACACATTATGTGCCTGGTCTATTTGTTCAGATAGGAAGTGCAGAACCGTCGCTTCGCTAGCGCGGGCATGTGGTGCGATAGTAGTCTCCACGTGACTATTTGCAGTTGCTGTTGTGAGCTGCTCGACCATCGGGCCTATGAAGCCACCCCCATGATCACCCCACATGGACTGACGGACGTCGTTAAAAACAATCTACCAGAATTTGAAAGCAGACTCACAGGAGTGCTCATCATCATCACCTCAATCACAAAAGCAACGACGGCAAACCATTGAACGGTGGAAATCGTTGCGTGAAAAATCGATGTTACAACTGCCAGGATCACCTGGTACACATGCATAATGCACCGCGAAACGCGCTTCAGGAAGCACATAATTTCGTCAATGTCATCCTGTTCGGCACTCCGGCATTGTATTGGTTGTTGAAGCTGTAGCGCGCGGTGGTGTGCGAGGGGTGTGCGATGTATAAGTGCGGGGACGCGTCGAGAACGGATAGCCAGAGGTGACTCGGGTGACTCAGGTGAGTCGGGACTCAGGAGGCATTCGGTGACTGGGTATATTGGTATGATTGTTGGCGAGTAATGATGCTTCCATGAGACTTGTGGTCTCAGTGTGAAAGGGTCCAATGGTGCAAGGGGTGGGCGATGGGTGCGGGTGCTTGTCATACCGTCTTGACGGGTCGTACTATCAAAATAATAAGCAGCAGCTGCTCCAGTCAGCTGTGGAGTCGTAAAACAGGAAATTGATCAGATTACCTCTGCCTCATATTTATTGAGAGAAGCTGGTGCTGGGAACAGAGTGAGGCAGACAAAAGGCATCAGTCACATCGTTCAAAAAAGCCATGCTTCCTGGACTGGACTCCGGCCAGGGTCAGTTGTGAGCTGCAGCTATTGTCATGGTCTTTGCTATGGTGATCAAAGAGTAACTTGAAGTTCCCCGAACTCGCCACTGGCCTATCGTGACAATAAATAGCAGTCTAAATATGGCAGGAACGACACTTTGCTTCCGGCTTAGGCCCGCACTTGCTAAGTTACGAGTCTTCGATCAGGTAGGCTTGACATCATTCGGTGAGTCTGAACTTGATACAATTGCCACATCAACTGACTCATACGCATAGTACAGCGTCAAGGGTATTAGTTATCTGACACATAACAACGGAACGATGATGCAATTCCTTTGACTCACATGTGCACGCTCCATCTGAGTTCCACTCGAGCCTCGCGTTATCCACCTTTTTATCCATGAGCTTTTCTATGAAGCGAAGCGTTCGTGCAGATGCGACAGGGATGTTCCAGGACATCTCTTCTTGGGCCTCAGATTGATGGTACAAACCTGCTGTAATGTTGCACCGAGATCTCTGAGATTTCGTCGCGTCTCGTCGGTTTCTTCAGAGGCGTTGCACCAGGGGATTCTACGCGGAATATCACACACACCCGCTTCAGACGTGGTTGGTACATGGGACGGTGGGTGTGGCCTGAGTTCGGAGGAGTCAATGTCACGGACCTAGAGTCGTATTACGTAATAACAGCAGTATTCCCCCCGACAAGCTAGAAGTCGTCTCTCGTACACTTGACCTGGTCCTCGAGAGTGCAGAGGTGGACAGGAAAGTCCCGAGCTGACTCGAAGCCACGGCGATCAAGATACTTATTTTTAGGATGAATCCAGACAAAGCAGAGTCCGAGTCATTATTGCCATTCATCGCAGTCTTGATCGTGACCTGTCGCAAGTCCCTGATGAGCGCCAACTACCGATGTGACGCCACGATAGGCTTCACTTCGATGAATGTTATAAGATGGAAGCAGCGGGGGGCAGCCTGAAAGTAATCCTCCATATTAATGTTTCATCCAGTCCTGTCAGAATTCGATATCGTTTTTGCTGGAGGTATGCAAATATCATCTTGTAGTGGTTTACCCTCTTTACACGTCATTCTGTACAGGCGGTACTACAGCCTGTGTTGTCGCGGGTCGCTTAGCTGCATATGATCCCTCGTTGAGAATCTTGATTCTGGAAGCGGGTCAACACAGCCTCAATAAACCTATTCATGTGCAACCCTTCCGATCTCGCTTCAACCATGCACCCACGAGCACCACAGTCACATTCAACATCGGAAATCCATCTCCTCGTCTCAATGACCGTGTACCAATCGTTCCCTGCGGTCGTTGCGTCGGTGGAGGCTCATGTGTGAATTGTACGTAGCATACTTGCAACAGTGACCAAGACCCTAATAATCAGACAGCTATGATATACACTCGCGCACCAGCTTCAGACTATGATGATTGGGGAGTCAATGGTTGGGAATCTGAGAATTTGATTCCCCTCATGAAGAAGGTCTCGAATTCGTTTTCAAGATATTTGTTCAAATTGCTTATACCTTTATAGCTGGAAACATACGAGGTGCAGCCCGATTGTCCAACTCACGGTTATGACGGACCTATCAAAGTGTCCTCTGGTGGTTGTAAATTGGGTATCTCCGACGAGTTCATCCAGGTTGGCACGACGTATCACAAGAGGCAGTATGCCGATGACACCGATGATTTAGAAACATGCAATACATACAGTGTAAGCTATGATCTATCTTCGTTATCTGCGACCACTAACCAGATCTGTCTCAGCCATGTCAGAAGTGCGTCCCTGTACTCGTAGTTCATTGGGAATTTTTAGCCCATGCAGAAAAGGTACATTGACGGGACAACGGGAAGGCGTTCAGACACCGCTCACCACTATGTCTACAACCAAGCTCACAACCCAAATTTACACGTCTGGGATGGAAAGCGCGTAAAGTGCATCATCTTCGAGTAAGTGGCTACCTGGGATCGCAGCTGCAGCAAACTGTTGACGGCTTTTCCAAATGAAAGAGGCAAGCGTGCTGTAGGTGTTGAGTTCATCAACGACCCAGTGTCCTGCCCAGACGCGGATCAGTCGTCGAGTATTGCGAGAGCATCAAAACTTGTTATTATTTCTGCTGGGGCGTTCGGCTCCCCGACCATTTTGGAGAGGTCTGGGATTGGTGCCAAGGCAATCCTCAAGCGGTGCGGTATTGAGCAAGTGGTGAATTTACCTGGCGTCGGAGAAAATTATCAAGGTGCGCTTTTAATTTATTCTAAGAGCTTGGCTGAGGACGGTCAGATCACAATCTCGTCTTCGTTTCATACTTGGCTGCTGACGAGGCTGTTACCATGGACCCCCTCTGGCGTGGGGACAGTATTCTACAGGGTAAGCATACTCTCACCACGATTGCAGCACTTTACAACTACCCAAATGTAGAAAGTCTTGCGCAATGGAACAGCAGCGGCAAGTCATTGATTGCACAAAAGTCGGTGCAAGTTATTACTGCTGGTATCGTGCTGATTGGAATCCCAGTGGCCTCGATTCAAAAATCAAATGGCGTCCTGATGACGAGGAATTAAAAGCCATGGATCCAGCTTTTCAACCACGCTGGAAGGAGTTCTTCCAGGACCGCCTAGACAAGGCTGTTGCAATATTTGCTATTTTTTCAGGGTGCGTGGGTATTGAGTATCGCTTGGCTTTGATGATACGAAATGCACATGTCAACCAGATATGTTCAACCGCTCTCGAGGCTGCTCTCGAGTACCCTTCCTCCTCGCAACTACATGAGTGCCGCTTATTATACAGTACTGATTTCCGTCTACCGCGTGATTTCTTTCTGAATCCCTTCGATAGCTCTACCCCGCGTCTGTTGGAAGTGTTCATATCAACGTGACAGAGAACGGCAAAGAAGCAATGGACTTTACAACTGGTTTCCTAGATGAGTGAGTGGACGCTTTTCATTTCAAGGCACTTTGCATGACTCTGACACTCCATACAGTCCATCCGATATTGTTCCTCTTAACTTCGCGTACAAAAAGACACGCGAAATTTTTCGACGCATGGCTTCCTACCGAGGTGAAGTCACTACCGGTCATCCTGATTTCCCCGAGGGAAGCGCTGCAGGTTGCAGAGAAGCCTCCGGGCCAGTGGACTTGAATGCGCCTGACATCTTCTACACTACCGAAGATGACGAGGCGATCGATCGATTCCACCGCGACATCGGTAAGTACTGACTTGCCATCTCCATTGTCATGGTAAAAACCGAATCGAACATCAGTACAAACAACATATCACTCGGTGTGTACGGCCGAACTTTTCATAATTTCATATCTGATCTTTGTATCTGTAGCTTGGGACCTGTGCCATGAAATCGGAGGCAGATCAAGGAGTAGTCGACGCTCGGCTAAATGTATACGGCGTGTCGAACCTGAAAGTTGCAGATATGTCTATTTCGCCATTGAACGTTGGCACGGTGGGTACTGAACAAGGGATTGTAGATGTGCGATTCTGATGATATACACAGAACACGTATTCGACGGCACTTCTCATCGGAGAGCGGGCTGCGATGATCATTGCTGAAGACTTGGGTATCAATTGCATTTGATATGTATCGTTAGAGTTGTATTGAATCACGAGTTCCTGGACCTGACTAGCGCCAGGTTTGTGGACGTCCTAAAGGACTTCGTTGTCTGAGATTGTGTCTGACGTAGCGTGACTCTCGTTGCGGGCTTCACAAGTCTCGTTCTACTGAAATCCATATATCCTTGGTCTTTCGATGCGACACTCGCAGTGCTACCTGTCTCTCCAACACCCTCGGAAATTTCAGGTTCTTCCTAACTCTCCTGCTTTTCTACCGGAATCGTTCTAAATATCACGGGAGGTTGAAATAGGATCAACAGGGCCGGCTTTCGGCGGAAGAAGATTTGAGTATACGAAGAACAGCAAAGTGAGGGAAGAATGTGTCAAAGTAAGTGCCATCAATGGAGCGCTCCATGGTACAACGATTTGGGAGAGTAGATGTCTTTGCATCAACCATAGTACAACTTCATACATCTTTTCGTAGGGTGTATCACTAGGCTCAGCAGAACTAGTGGCTGGAATTGACAGAGTCGCGATCACAATCCCATTACTTAAATTTCTCCAGCTAAAATGAACCTTGGTATGAAAAGAGCAGACAGACCATTACCATTTTAGCCAGTCTGCAGGCAATAACAAACTATCGAGCATGAACAAACCGAGCGCACCATGTAGCTCATATATATAGGCTGTACAGTGCAGCAAGCACAATTATTCCGATGCAGGAGGCTGGGGCAATCTCATTAGTAGCACTGAAATAATTGCATGTGATGTTGCGCAAAAAATCCTATGCAAATACATACAAACTGAGCGGGGAGGGCATTGTCAGATAATAAAAAACAGATATGCCCCGACTGCTACATAAACTGTGCAGCGGCCGAGTACAAATCAGAATCATGTAAGTACTAAAGTATGTCTGAGCGGTACTTTTCTCTTAATCTAAGAAGATGCGAGTGGGCGTGAGTGCAGAGTGGATGAATGTGTTGTGACGAAAGAGCGATGCGATGAAAGAAACCAAGATGCAGCAAAGATGATGGGAGCTGCGGACGGAACAAGGGCTAAGGTGGGAAGATGGGCGAAGGTGCTTAATCCTTCTTTTCCTCCTTGGTCTCCGAACTGCTTTCTGAGGCAGCGTTCTCAGCATTCCGCTTCTCGTACACCTTTTGGAAGAGGCCGAGCGAGGCTTGTTGAGTCTCGTTGATCTTCTCCCGGATCTGCTCAGAGGTAACAGCGCCATCGCCAGCCTGACCCTTGGCAGCAAGTTCGCGAAGCTCAGTAACAAGCTTGGTCACCTTCTCCTTTTCGGTGGCGTCAAGCTGGTCCTTGAACTCATTCATGGCTATAGGCGCGCATGTTAGCAGGATGCGGGAATCAAGAAATAAATCGTACCTTTCTCGGTGTCAGAGCAGACGGACTCGCCCTTATTGCTTTCCTCAATGAGATCACGACGAGCCTTGTCGGATTCGGCGAACTGCTCGGCATCTGAAACCATGCGTTCGATATCCTTGTCACTGAGACCGGAAGACGAGGCGATAGTCATAGACTGGTCCTTGTTGGTAGCCTTGTCCTTGGCAGATACATTGACAATACCGTCAGCATCGATGTCGAAGGTGATCTCGATTTGAGGAACACCCTTGGGAGCAGGGGGAATGCCAACAAGGTTGAAGTTGCCAAGAAGTTTGTTGTCCCTGACAAGCTCACGCTCGCCCTGGTAGATTTTAACCTCGATGGCGGTCTGGCCATCAGCAGCAGTTGAGAAGACCTGGGACTTCTTTGTTGGGATGGTCGTGTTACGACTGATGAGCTTGGTCATGATACCACCGAGGGTCTCGATACCAAGTGATAGGGGCGTAACATCAAGGAGCAGGATATCTGTGACGTTGCCTGCAAGTACACCACCCTGGATGGAGGCACCAATGGCGACAGCCTCATCAGGGTTGACACCCTTGCTGGGCTCGCGACCAAAGATGCTCTTAACCGTGTCGGAGACCTTGGGCATACGAGTCATACCGCCAACGAGGATGACCTCGTCAATTTCACTGGCCTTCACACCAGCATCAGAAAGAGCTTTCTTGCACGGCTCAATGGTACGTTTGATGAGAGGTTCAACAAGATTCTCCAGCTGCACACGTCCAAGCTTCATGTTGATATGCTTGGGACCAGATGCATCGGCGGTGATATAGGGGAGATTGATCTCCGTCTGCGATGTTGACGAAAGCTCGATCTTGGCCTTCTCAGCAGTTTCACGAATGCGTTGAATGGCTATACGGTCCTGGCTGAGGTCGATGCCAGACTCCTTCTTGAACTCTGCCAAGATGTGGTTGAGCAGAACGATATCGAAGTCCTCACCGCCAAGGTGAGTATCGCCGTTGGTTGACTTGACTTCGAAGACACCCTTCTGCATCTCCAAGATTGAGATATCAAAGGTACCACCTCCAAGGTCATAAACAGCAATGACTGACGAATCAGAGCGATCCAAACCATAAGCAAGAGCGGCAGCGGTAGGTTCATTGATCACCCGCAGCACTTCAAGACCTGCGATTTGACCAGCATCCTTTGTTGCTTGTCGTTGTGCATCATTAAAGTAAGCGGGTACCGTAATGACAGCGTGGCTAAAAAGAATGAGCTGAGATTCATGCTACTTGCATAGATGACTTACTTGACTTTCTTGTTGAAAAATTGCTCGCAGGTCTCACGCATCTTTACAAGAACCATAGACGACAACTCTTCAGGAGACTAGAAAAGATAGCTTGAGTTGAGGACACAGCAATGGATCCAGGAGAGGAAGAGACATACATATTGCTGCTTCTTTGAACCAACCTCGACCTCTACCGCTGGCCGACCGTCGGCTTTTTCTACGACAGAGAAAGGCCTGCCCATAATGAGCAACTTTTTACATGGTATGTCCAACACTAGACTCACCAATGCTTTACATCCTCCTGTACCTCCTTGTCTTTGTATCGCCGACCAACCAACCGCTTGAATGCGAAAACAGTGTTGGCAGGGTTGACGACAGCTTGGCGTTTTGCGGGTAAGCCAACCAGACGTTCGCCGTGTTTCGTGAATGCGACAACGGAAGGTGTCGTTCGGGCACCCTCGGAATTTTCAATCACGCGCGCCGTCTTCCCTTCCATGACGGAAACACATGAGTTTGTCGTACCCAAGTCAATACCGACGACAGGTCCTGCAGTGCAATTGAGCAACTTGAGCTGAGAGTAGAGATACGAAGCTCACCGGAAACTTTGGTGTTCATATTCCTCGCGATCGAAGACCGCGATAGAGCCTATTGGAAATAGGGTTATCAGTGCGTCGGTCAGTAAGACAACTTCACTACGCACGGCATAGTTGCCGGTGCGGGCAACACTACGGAAGGCACGAGCTGCAGTGAACATGGCGGAAGAGGTCAAAGAGGTGACTAGCAAATTGGACACGGTGATTCAAAATTTTAGGGAGTCCGCGTAACGCTTACATCAGCCTGAAAGAGTCCGAGAAACGTGGAACATTCGGGATTCGGGCAAGCAAAGTACTACATGCACAAGTAGCTTGATTTTGTTATAATTCATACGACTACTTTCAACACGTTCATCATTGTGATTTTGAGTGGGTTGGGAATTTTAAAAAAACTATTAAGACAGTTTCTCCCAGTGTGAAAGTTCGGGCACGGCTACATTCCGGCCTTCCAGCGCTCGTGACTCGGCCCCAGTGGGCGCACCGTGGAGCGCCGCAACACCTTGAATTGAACGTTCAAACGTTCAACCTCGAAGCCTTCGATATTATGACTGATAGCGCGCCAAAAAGCACTGGAGGCGAGTATGGTACTATGCGCGCCAACATCGACATCAAGAAGCTTAATACATACCTGGAGGTCCATGTGCCGGTTGTCGCTATTCCCGTACAGGTACAACAGTTCAAGGTACGGTCGCAATCTATTGAGGCGAGATTGCAGGGCTGACTGGCAGGATAGTTTGGACAGGTACGCTCATGACTCAATATACACAGGCTTACATCATGATGACATCGGACTACTAAGTCCAATCCCACATACTTCCTGACCGATGCAAGGTATAAGCTTGTCCTTTGTCAGGTATTAGGTCCCATTTAAATTATACCTCTTCAGTGCGACACGATTTGTGTTGCGAAAAAAGCCAGCGGGTCAGTTGTTGTCCTCAACTGCTCACCAAATCGAGCGCGAATACCGCATGTTAAGCGCATTGCACCGATACAACATCAGTCCAACCACAAAGCCAGAGCAGACAGTCCCTGTCCCGCAACCTTTTGTCCTATGCGAGGACAGTAGCGTTATTGGCACTCCTTTCTATATCATGGAGTACCTCGAAGGGCGAATATTCACGGACACCAGGCTGCTGGAACTGCCACAGCAGGATCGAAGAGAATGGTACTTTTTGCCATCTCTATTGTATTAAGATGCTAAGCCTGGTTACCTAAAGCTGGCTCTCAGCTATCCGCTCGTTGGCAGCATTGGCCTCTCTCGACCCATTCCAATTAGGTCTCAAGACCTTTGGTCCCACGACTGATTACTTCCCCCGTCAAATCAAATCTTTTACACGCGTATCGGTTGCTCAATCCCAGGCTATAGATATCGAGACAGGAAAAGCAACAGGAAATATTCCGTATTTCGAAGAAATGGTCGGTTGGTACCAGAAGCACCTCCCAGACGAGAGTAAAACTGGGCTGCGGATTGTCCATGGGGACTACAAGCTTGACAACATGATATTTCATCCAACAGAAAACCGGATAATTGGCATACTGGACTGGGAGTTATGTACTCTAGGTAGTCCAGTACGTTCACCGATCACTGTCTTCTGCATCTTGATCTGAATTCACTGCATAGCTTGCTGACCTCGCAAACCTTACTCAACCATGGGCAATCGACGCCCGTCATATACCCAAGGATTCCCCGCTCACTGAATTCACAATCATCAGGCCGTTCAAGAATGCTACAAAAGATGTCCCTATACCCTTAGAAGACCTTGAGCGCGAGTACTGCAGGCTGACCAACCAACCATATCCCATTAAAGAGATGGTCTTTGTCCGTAGTTGGATACTCTTCCGGGTACGTACCATACCCAGATACGGGATAGTATATATTGACCTGGTTGTTTTTAAGCTTGCTATAATATCGCAAGGTATTGCTGCCAGATATGCGCGGCGGCAGGCGAGCTCGGAAAAGGCTTTCCTTCACCCACAACTCTTTCCTTTGGTTGGTCGGTTGGCAAAGTCGATCTTAGAAGGCGATGGATTCGCTATTGACATAAAACCAAAACTATAGCATTGTTCGTCAAGTCCGTGTTATTAACCTGTGTAGTGAAGAACGTTCTGTATCTACATATGTGACAGTTTCACTAGGTAGCTTACTGCAAACCAGGATAGATGCGATCCAAGTACCCTTTCAATTCGGATACAGCCGGTCGCATCCCATCGTTTTTCCAGCAATCCGTCAGCATTGACCACATACCTCTTGACACACGAAGGTAAAGATTCCTGTTGGGTATTTTCCCTCTACAGATACAATAGATGAGCTCGCCATATCCCTTCTGATCGGCGTACGGCACATTGCCAGATAAAATCTAGTAACACACTCAGTATCTGCAATTTTGGCGACAATGATTTTTTAACGCACCTCTAGACCCGTCATACCTGCCGACCAGATGTCCGATTGCACGGTGGGTAGCGGTGCTGTTGCCGAAGTGGTGTTCACGGGATTCATCAACTCTGGTGCCATGTAACGGAACGTGCCAACCGCTTTTACATTAGTCGTCGTGAAACCAGAAGCTTTGATGACACGGGAAAGGCCAAAGTCCGTCAAAACTGCATTCCAAGAGTCGTCAATGAGAACATTTGTCTACAATGAGTATAAGTCACTATTCCCGCAGATAAAAGTTGTGTGCTAACAGGTTTGAGATCTCCATGGATGACTCTTCTGTAGTGCAGATATTCTAATCCAGAAAAAAATTGGCGAAGCTGTCCAGACATAATTGAATCTGAGCGACTATGAATGAAATTGATACATACAAGTTTCAATCTCTGGTCATTGTGCATATGTACCAGACAGTCTTTCAGTGTTCTGTTCTTATAAAACACTGACACTAGACGAGGGATAGAATACCCCCGTACATCTTGATAGTACACACCGATAAATCGAGCCACGTTGGGATGATTCAGCGTGCTCCAAAGTTTTGCCTCTCGCAAAATTTTCTGAAGCAGACTAAGTAAAAAGGATGACCTATGAATAAACGATCTCCATACCCGTATGGTTTTGTCCACAAGATGCCTGTCTGACAGAAGTGATGGTCTCAAGATCTTCACAGCTACCTACATCGATGAGTGAATATGAGTGCGTTATACGTCACCAGTGACCGTGTAGCACGTACGGTATATTGATGACCTCGCACGGTGTAAATTCCCTTCCAAACATCTGCGAAGTTTCCACTGCCGAATGCGTGTTTGTCGGTCGTCACGACCATTCCCGTCAGATTGTGTACATGGATATTTGTGAGGTTAAAAGCCATTGGAGGATGGTATGGGTGACTATAAAAATGAGTATTGGTGGATAGATTTCAAGTTGGGATGTATAGCAGGCAGGAAGCAAAATCTAGATGATGAGTGCCATACTGCCTGAGCAGGTCCAACTTAAGTAGATTTCCCGGACAAGGTGAGAGTCCTCGTGCCCTGCTAAGTGGGGAAAATGGACCATAGTGACGAAGTTGTTGTACACGGTAGACAAGAAAAACGAATGTACGTCAAAGCTCGCTTCAAGGATCGCCGCATTGTGTTCATCCTGAGTTAGATATCGAGTTGCCAAGACGCTTACAATGAGGATTCAAGAGATGAGTCAAGGTTCAGATAATTTTTGAGGTACTGTGGGGCCAGTTGATGATCAGTTACTTGTGTTGATGGAGACATTATACATAGTACAATGGTAATCAGAGTACTTGCTAGTGAAACTTGTGATTACGAGACAAGTCATGTGAAAATAGCAAGCCAGTTGAGCATTCTTGCTGGCGGGCTGAGCGGGCGTTGATCTGATCGCTGAGAACAACGCGATTCTTGAAATTTACGATTAGCTAATATAAATAGTTAATCCGACCGTTGTCTTATTATTCTGCAAGGCAGCGCACCAAACGTGACCAGTCTGACGTATGTTTGGGCTGGTCCCGAGCTTACCAAACAGTTCGCATCGGATACTTCATGACCACCGCGCCAAACAAGGTCGCCTCGACTTTTACACGTTCCAGCTTACAGTTCTTTGAATTTCTTTCTGGTTAGAAGATCAACTCGTCGGCTCTCAGTTGCACGTGGCCCCGTCACCTGGCAAGGGTCGACGGAAGCCTGAGGCATTCAATCGCATCATTTCACCCTGGTGAGCCTTTAGGAAGATGTCAAACTCTCTGACGCGCAAGGCGGGACTGCGACTGGGACCACTAGTACTAGAAACGTTGGTCAAACATTACTTCGATCGTATCAAGAAAGAGAATGCACAACGGTCCAACTTTGCAACACAGTTGCACCAGGATGAACTTCTATACCATGAAGCATTCAATATTGTGAAGGTACGTTTCGGAGTTAATCATTCGAGTGCCCCAAGCTTAGGGCGGAATGCAGAGTTTCCTCGAGGCTTCGACATAGTGCGTGCACAAACCCGATCGCGAATATTCGTGTCTGACAGTGACTCAGTCACACCGTGGAGGAAGTCCAAGCATTTTCGAACAACCGGACACCATTTCTTCCCTCATCCCATATTGTTCGTTTGCTAGTCCCATTATCCTGCTGTGACGAGGCTGCCACCTACGTCATCCAAGCGCTTGGTGGAGAAGAACTCGCCAAGCGGTTAGTGGGTGGTACAAAGTGGTGGCAAGTGCGTGGAGTCAAAGGGTAATAATATCTGCGCCTGTGAATCAGGCATCATTAACTCAATTCCCTCTGTTAGTATCGATGCAGAGTGGATCACGGATCGCAAGGACTACCAAGAGGCGAAGAAACGGAACAAAGCGAAACATAAAGAGAGCTCAAATACGGAAATACCCACCAGCGAAAGCGATACCCAGGCCTCAAGTGGACTGCCAGCCTCCAGCTCAAATGAGGGAAATATTTACAAGGAAGAAATGGACGAAATGCGCTGCATACTGTATGCTCATGGAGGTATGCTGTGTCTTTGTTTAAATCAAAAGCATACGATGACAGTTCTCAGGGGGTTATTATTTTGGGAGCGTTGATCAGGAAAGGTTGATTCGTTCTTTTCCCGATTGGCAACTTCATCGGTTAACTGGAGTTATTCAGATACAGTCTCCAGCGGCATGCAAGGAAGATCAACGGCCGTGTTTTTGGTAAGTCATCATCACTATCACATTGACTGTCACTTAGCAGAAGCTAGCTATCAACTACCGTCTGGCTCCGCAGTATCCTTTTCCCTGTGCCTTACAAGATCTTCTTGCTGCTTGTCAGTACCGTCTTTTCGGAAGTTTTGAGGACAAAGTTCTTAAAGGCCCTCCCTTGTAGACCTTTACTTGATCAAACCTCCTCCTGATGCGCCCCACCGGCCATTACAGCCAGCACATATTGTTGTTGCAGGAGATTCCGCAGGGGGCGGTCTAACCCTCGCATTGTTACAAATTTTGCGCGACACTGGACTCCCATTACCTGCAGGAGGGATCTTGATTTCTCCTTGGTGCGATTTAACTCACTCTTTCCCAAGTATTCACACCAACACCGCCACGGTAGGCTATCAGCGGAACTGTGCCGCAGTATGCTCACCCAATAATACTCAGGATGTCATTCCTGTATATGGACTTTCGCTCCAGAAACCTAGTCCCTTGTGGCCTCCGCCGTCAGATGAAATGACCATCACCGTCCATTCTGGGCTGCGCAAGCGGATACGTCAGATGGTCCACCTTGAATCGAAGCAAGATAAGCACGACAGTGAAGCTTCCCCAAATGTCAGCATATATCAGGACTCAAGGGGTGCGTCATTGATTAACCTAACCGGGGAGGACGAAAGATCGGCCTGCAGTGAAATGCCTGTTGACGTAGGCGCTACTGCTCCGCTACCGTCAGTCGACAAGAAAGAAGATCAGGCCATACGCCTTCTAACCAACTCAGGTGAATTGTTGGTGATAGAAGACCAGGTGCACATGTACGCCCAGAATAGCTTGCTGGGACATCCACTTGTCAGTCCCGCCCTCTCGTACCTGGGCGGCTTGCCGCCTTTACTTTTCATTGCGAGTGACAAGGAGGTTTTGAGAGACGAGGCCATCTATTCGTGAGTCGTTAACATTTTAGCCTGTTCAGCATTTAAAATACCTATCAAGGGCTCACAAAGCCGCTCATCCTTCGCGGTATCCCCTCAGGGAAGAAGTACGCTCTCTTTACCCACCACTCAAAGGGATAGAAGACCGTTTTAGTCCAACTGCAGTTCATCTACAGGTCTATGATGGTAAGGATATCATTTACGTTGTGGTCTCAAATTAAGTCTTTCGCTCTAGATACTGCCCATGTTTTGCCGGTCTTGTTCTCTTTTACTACCCCGGGAAAATTTTGCTACCGCGCAATTGCATCTTTCACAAAGCACGTCACAGGCATGAATGCACTGTCCAGATCTTCCTCCGGTCCGATGGTCTCTCCTACTACTAGCGCCTTATCTTCTCACACCGTCGTCGGGAGGTTTTCTATGCTTTCCCGTGCGTTGTCTACGCCTGAATTCCTTAATCGCATCCAGGGCAAATCAAATAGCCTGACGTCGTCTAATGTTCCTGATTCCGCTTGTCTTTTGCCGCTCTCATCCACATCTCTTCTCCCTCCATTGTCTCGACCTAGTGTGCCAAAATCTGCATCTGACAACGCTCTTTTCGAATCCACATTGCGAGATCGATCTTCGGATAACGTAAATTTAGGAGGCAAGGGGATCAAGGGCAGTGCGTCTGATTTCGCTGATACAGTACAGCGATTTGCAGGAGAGAGTAAGATATATTGCGATGACGAAGTATGTTTTATAAATTATGTTGTTGAAAACCCTGCTGATGTCCCTAATTCTTTTGCAGAATCTCCCCTCCTGGAAGCAAGGCATGATTCGCGAAAGAGTGTCAACTTCCGGCGTACTTCGACCACTGGAACCAGAGGCAGACTTGGGCGCATTTCATACTCCCCCGGAAATCATAGGAGTTCTTTCAGAGCTCGCCGTGCGACGCTATATGGAAGGGAAGGCTAAATTCGACAAAAAGTTCGCGAAAGACCGACACGCCATCCAGAAGCAACGTCATCGCAACCTCGAGCGTTCGAGAAGAGACGTTCTGAAAAACATTGCACAACTTCAAGGCTCGCATGGTTCGCAGACCAAAAATGGCAAGGGGAAGGCACACGATACCGTGAAAGGTATCAAAGAAGGTCTAGAAGCTGCCTCTGCCAGCTGGTTTTGGGCTTGGGCTTTGGACGTAGACGAGCGTCCACCACCAAGTAGTATTGTATCCCGGCGAGATACAGATGAAGCTCGACGGCTCGCGCGGATTGCTGATCAAGCCGTCCTACAAGAGCACAGTCATATAAGCGCCAACAGCTTGTGGGCTGTTATCGTCAATTTCTTAACCGTCGCTCCCGAACGTGACCACAAACATGCCAATTCCGCTGTCAGCGATGGTGATAACAAACCACCATCCCCATTACAGAAACGCAAGCCGTTGTTTGCCTCGCTACGACCTCGAACACGAGAAGTGAAAGAGTCTGAACCAAGTAGATGATGTACATATAGTGGGTTTGCGCTCTTACCTAGACCCCTCAATTGACAATGTGTTTTAATTTTATAGTTCTGTGGCACAGAAATTGATAATAAGTACCTACATGATAATATATTGTTATGCATAACCAGGAATTTATCTTTTTTCCGAGCATGCAATTATAAAATGACGTGTTTATCCTGTCGAACCGAACCCAAATGTGGGGTAAGGTGAGCTTCTCGCATTCAGAGGATCTCCTTTGAGAGCAGCACTAAAAAATCTGACTCGCAGATAACGGCAGTATCAGAACGACTCATCTGTATTATTCCCGAGGCATCCGTACCGACGAGTCTCGTGGTGCTCAGAGACGTAGGGCGTTAGATCGGACATACGTGGACCTCGCGATAAAGATTGTGCGATCCATCAGCCCATCTCACTTTCAAATTAGTGAAAGAAAACCGCCTACATAACCCTGCAAAGTAGCCCGACACCACACTACAGTGATCAGACTGTCCGGGTTACGCAATCCCACTAAGCCCAAGTTGAGCACCCCGCACGAAATCGTCATAACTCGGATCAAGTTCAAGACTGTCAAGCCTGTGATGAGCTTCAACGTGACTCGTCCCACACAATTGGACGCTCTTGCATATTAGCATCGGATCCCACAGAGTAAAACAATTGAATGTCATGCTCATACCGTGTTTGACAGGAAGAACGTGTCGTAACAGAAAGCAATCTAGAAAAGAAAGCTCCTGCGGGAATAAGAATTCGAGAAAAAGTGCGTTGGAAGGTCTGGCTGCAGTACTAATTGTTGCAATTTCGGATCCACTGTAGGGGAGTGCGCATGCATAAAAGGAGCAGGCCGCAGGCTGCCGGTCGACCCTGCGCTACTAGCACGGACGTGCCTGCATCGGCAAAGCCAATAGACTAGCCTGGTCCGTTAGATATGATCGGATGGATGTAGCCCATCCGACGAACATCCCGAAGCGACGAACGCCGGAACCACTGGCAGAGCGTGCCGCGGCGTTTATGTCAGAAATAATATCATATTGTGAGACGGACAGCCGTGCTCGGAACAACATGCGCCACGCAGCGATACCCACGCATGAAGGCAAATCTATACATGCAGAGTCAGAGAACGAGACCAGAAAGCCGGAGAAAGTTACATGATAGTACTAATCAGGTTTTGGCAAACATGAAAAGAGAAGTTCTAGAAAAGCAGCTGTTCGACGGTCATGAGATGCGTACACACTGATATTATTACTTCAACTTGTGGGAGTGGCTTAGCGGGAATTCGAGCTTGACCCGGAGGCAGTGTCGATGAGAACCATGGGAGAGTAGCATAACCGAGATGTGATGTTACTGTAGGGCAGGTGCAATGCAAAATACCGCTGACTGCCCAGAGATGACATATGATAAGTATGTGATCAATCTGATAATACAAGTGATGGTAAGTGGGCTAAGCCTAGTAGGCGGTCACGATGCCTAATCATCGCTCTAAAGGCTGGAAACGACTGTAGTACTGTTTTGTCTGGGATTCAACCATCTCTTGTGTCGACTCTGGTAAATCTTCAATAAAGCGACCTGTGAGAATAGGCATCATTATCACGAGACATAAGCCAACATTAAAAGTCACTAGCCTGGCGAGCCAGAGAATAGTGCCAGAGCTGGAATAACGGTGTTGGGAGGAATGACAGTGTTATCCGCGACCTGCGCGCAAGTCTTTGATGATCGTAAACTTTCCCTGAAAAACATGCTCAGTGAACGTTGAAGACAACGTAGCCTGAGTTATGAAGACTTACAATAACACAGTTCTTCCCAATCACAACATGGTTCCCAATCGTCGCGGCTTCGACGACGGTGTTCGCACCGACGTGAACATAGTCCCCGATCTTCATTGGGTAGTAATTGAAATTTCCGCGATACGTCTTGTATGGTGGCCTGGAATATCGTAAAACCTCCAAGTTAGACGCATATGTTACCTCCAAGTAAGACATACCTCATCACGCAACCCTCGCCGACAAGGCAGTACCTCCCAAGGGAAATGACGACGGCATGACCAGGACCTGTTCTGCGAAGATCTCCCCGAATGATTGCGCCGCTGGAAATAATAGTCTTTCCTCCGAGAATGATATTTTGAGGTCCAGCTATAGTGGCTCTTCGAGAGACTTTGTTTCCTGTGTCCTAGATCAGTGTCAACAACTGGCTGACTCCGTTGGGTCCGTCGCTTACAGTTTCGATGAACTCAGCTTTAGAATAATATACTGGCACGTCCATCGAGGCTGACGCAAAACGCCGACGGAATAAAGATATTACCAGAGAACATACGCAAATACATGATAACCTAACCCTCGTCACAAGTTGCCATTGACATGTTCCAGCTCACTACTCTCAGGTTAGCCGAGCTATCGAGCCCATCGGCTTGCTGCATTCAATAGCTCCGTGGTTTGCTGCAGATCTGCACGAGCTTTGAACTCTTGGACCACATCATGTGGTCCGCAGAAGCAGCGGCCACGACTTACTGCCCGGAGTAGACATCTTTCAACATCACCTTCAACAGCAGACGATGCTGCGTTGTCAACAAGAGCACCTTCTTCTGGAGATAGCCAAGCTGAGCCGGTCACTTACCATGGTCCACTTACACAGACATTCCGTCGTCTCAAAATTTTCTCCCTGTCATCCTTGGGTCTGTCGTGTATCATGACCCCATTCATCTTCATCGTCGAATCATCGCTTCCTCTGTCTGCTCGAATCGTTCTGGCAATGACCGCACTTTCCACAAGTTCTATCTCGACCGCCCTCGTCGGGTGGTCCGGCGCATCCTACGTCATCGACCTGCAAAGGCTTTCGCCAGCCGACAATGGCGGCATCGAAGGCATCGAGATGACCACGCTTACGCTCACGCTGAAAAGGCTCGTCACGCGCGTGTACGACGCTGACTTCCTAGTAGACACGAAGCGACCGTTTGCAAAGTGGGCGCTCGCGCAAAGTGTCCTATTACCACCCTCAAAAGAGGACGCACTCATGGCGGTGAAAGGCGGCGCACCGGGCGAGGAAGAAACAATAGCGGAAACCTTCAATGCTGCGGGCGAGATTGTGGGACGGTGGATTGTGAAATGGGAAAATGATGGTGCAGGAACATGCCGCGGAATAGGAAAGGTCGTGCGGTACGCAATCCTTATCATTTGCGCTTGCAGAGAGTTAACATTGCATGTCTAGATACTTCAATGTGCACGAAGAGCTGCTGTGACAGCTGTGCATCTAGGTTATTGCTTCGAGTTAGCAGGATTCTTGTCGTTACTCTAGTGACCACCGTCATTTTTACGGAGTAACCACAAAAATTATGCGCATGCTCAGATCTGGCGTAGAATGTGCTCAGGTAACACTCGCTCAGTACGAATTGTGCATCATACCGTATAACAGCTGGTGGCTCTATCATTTTCTTGAAGGTCATTGGTGCAGCATTTGGCCGCATTTTGCATCCAACTCGAGCTTGGTGACGCCTCTGATGCTTGGCGCCTCCACAATAACCTTGGATATTTTCGTCAAGTGACGATACAAAGCCTTGCTAGGCCGTGGTATAATGCCGAAGGTAAATGGGGGGGGACAACATTCTTCACGAAGAGGTAGTCTTACACATCAAAAGCACGGACGACACAACGACTTGCTGAACGGCAGATCACATAATGACCGCTGAAGCAAACCTATACACGCGTCATGCCAACTCCTGGATTACTTGCACACCATAGACAATTTTTAAGCAAAAATTGAGGACTTGGCGAGGCGACCATATACCACCACCGCGTGGAGCAGTAAACATAAATCTGGCGACTGCAGCATGATACAATACCCCCTGGAGACCATCTTACTGCCCATAGCTAGCATTAAATGGCATAATCATCGTACGTTCGTATCGATCGACAATTGTGAACATGCAGTTACCGCTAAGCGGACCATCCTACCGCCTAATAGATGGCCCGGTCATGTTACAGTTATATCAAATTACGAACGTGTAATCACGAGCGCGGAGCGCTCGGTGGTCTTGGCACCCAATCGCGGAAAACATTTGGACCCAACATTGCCGACTGCCGACGGGTCGTGGAATTGTTTGTAGCGGAGGAAAGTATGTTTCAATTTATGGAGGGCTCACAGGATTAAGGATATTGGCATTCTTCGGCGATGTGCTTCAACTATGGACCCGGAGTCGGACGAATTAGCGATATCTATCTGCGGATAGGCCTCGTAGTACTAGTCGGACATGTATCAATGGGGTAGGACTGTGCATCTTGTATTGCCTCTAAATTGATCTAGTGTTGGTTTCCAGACGCAGTGTGAAGTCAAGCCTCTACCTTGTCGGGTTTAATGCAGCCTTGTCAAGCCTGGTTTAGGCCGGGTCAAGCACCACTTGTACCGCATGACAAGATCTCCCTACATCTTCGCAGCCTCTGTACTAATGTCAACCTCTACACTTGCCTATGCCACGTCAAGCAGATTGCGCCGCGTCAGACCTCATTCATGCTGTGCCAAACCACCCCCCCTCCCCCCGCGTGTCTATGGCATTGTTTATTTATTATTTGCGCGTTCTTCAGCCTGTACGTTTTGTTGAAAGTTCGCTAATCAAGAATAGCCCTTTTTTTGAGAGCTTCCACGTTCGCACAGTATCTTCGCAACGCGCGCTCATAATACTATAAGCAAAATGAAAGATGAACGTTCTTGCAAGTTATTGAACATCGGTTTGTTTGAAATCTCCGCCACTGCATTTTCATATGATTGCAATGTTACCAAAAGAAGGTTTGGATGCCCATCTACCGTTTCCGCGATGCAGTCACTGGAATTCTCCGCAACCCGCGTTGATCGAGGATCAGTACTAGTGATTGTACCCACAAGGTGCAAAGCGCCGCCGCCGCCGCCGCGCTACACCTTTGAGATACCGCACCAAAGCCATCCAGTGAATTAGACCGGCCGTATCAGGCGTAGCTCTCACGTTCAAGTGAGGTGGAACTACAGGTGTTTCAAAGAACGGACACTCCGACACTCCGAGGTCATGCATATCAAGCGCTGATTGGTCCAACCAACCGCGTGCGAGTCTTAATCTTATCGATTCGGGCTACAATGTGTGCAGTGGCCGCGTTAAAATAGCTGTGCCCCTTTAACTTAGGCTTGGCTTACGAACTCTTATCATAATGGATTCGGTCAATGCCCGGTATCTTGCGCCGGTTCTCAATTATGTTTCCGGGCCCACGGGTGACGTCATGATATAGGCACTCATGTCCTCGAGGCTCGGATACCCTCGATCTCTTGTTTTTTTTAATTACGCTCTATTAACTGTCAACCGTCACGCGTCACGCGTCATCCCTCGGAATTATCCCATGCATAGCCTTGCCACTACCGTCATGTGACCGAACAGGTTGAAATAACACTTGGCCACTCGGATGGGTCTTCCACAATTTAGTATGTGCGTTGGGATATACGGTGAGGGCATCATTTATGTCATCCGCAGCATATCTAAACTCAAGATTCATGAATAATATACGTAAAACTCAAATGCAGGACCCCAATGTTACAGCCTGGTCTTGAACTGGGCAAGTGCCAGGGGTTGATCTTCGAAGCACATATTTAGAAGGAACATCATAAAGCGATCAAACGGCTCACATATAGTATTATATAGGTTATCTGGAGGAGTGAGACCGACGTGCGAGTGCAGGGCGTTTGCATCAACCATTTCAGGCGAAAGTTCATCTATCGTACGAGCGCCAAGAAGCCGCATGTTCATCATCAGCTCATCCTATATTTTGGGATAACCTTATCAGGCATGCATACTGTCAATGATCGCCCGATCCACTCACCTGGATGATTTCGAAGGCTTTTTCAACGCCTTCCTGTCCATAGGCACAGAATGAGTACATGAATGCCCGACCAACGCCAACGGCAGATGCCCCAAGCGCGATAGCCTTGAGCACGTCGGAGGCTCTCCGAACGCCACCATCAACGAAGACTTCGAATTTAGGGTTAGGCCAAGGGCCACGGGTCTTGAGAGCGGCAACAACCTCAATCAGATTCTCGATACCGGATCGAGCCGTGTCTAGTTGTCGGCCACCGTGATTAGATAGCACAATTCCAGCAAGACCATAGTCGTAGGCCATGAGTGCGTCTTCAGGTGTAGCAACACCCTTGAGGACGATAGGCACTGAGATGAAAGCGTGAGATTTAATTTAGTCGGCCCAGAAGCACTGACTATTGGTGATGCTCTTAAACCAGGGAATGTCCTTCCATGATAAGGAAGGATCAATGAAGGACTGATTAATGCATTCAATATGATCTGTCACGTAAGATTTGCTTGCACCTACAGATATGGCGCGGGCAACGCCTTCGTCCTTCCTGATTCCGGACTGATTTTCCTGGACTTTTGCAACCCCTGATTCATCAACGAATTTCATGCGCATATCCTTCTCGCGGCGACCGAGCTGAGGGGCGTCGACGGTGATGAAGAGGCCCTTCACACCACGCTTCTCGGCGTGTTGGACATACTTCCTTGTGATCTCTCGGTCACGGTTGACATATAGCTGCAGGAACTGGACCTGGCCGGGGACCGCGGCATCGACAATTTCATCGAATGCGCAAGATGCAAGCGTTGGGATCTTTGCATCGCTAGTCAACAATAGCCAGCATCAATTTGATGAAAAAAAATTTCCGTTACCATCTGGATTACGCCATGCTTGCCGGCTGCTCTGGTGAGATTGAGTTCTCCATCTGGATGGCCAAGCTTGCCAAGTGCTGTAGCAGACTGGCAGATCCATGTGAGTCCAATACCAATTACAACTCATGAGAATGCCAAGTACTTACAATGTATACCGGAAGCGAGGATCTCTGACCGAGAATAGTTGTCGACCAATCGACAACCGAAACGTCACGAAGAATACGAGGACGGAACCATATTCTAGAAAACGTTGGAAAATAACATCGATTATGGAAAACGCTGGACGAGCCTTTGGTATGCGGCGCGATTTTCCCGGATGGTGATTTCATCATCAGACGCTGAGGAGTAGTAAGCCCATGCTTTAGGAGAGAGGATTGCTTTTGCGATCGCCTTTCAAAGATGTGGTTAAGTCACGGGATCCTGCTGACGCCAAGTACTAACCTCGAAATCATGCAGATTAACGATTTCATCCAGGGAGGGTCGAGCGACTATTAATTCTTGGCGAATCTTCTCTTCTGCAGTGACTTCCTTGTGTACAACTTTGGCTACAGTATTCGGATCAACAACGCCAAGGCTGCGCAGATCACACGACTCGGCCATTAATATACTTATTCCAGAAAGCCTGATGATATTACTCACTGCTTTTCCTTGGGTAGATGGGTCGTAATGGCATCCGGAGGGTGAATAGGGTCATATGCTTCACTGATGTCCGCAATAGCCGGTGGCTTCCTCAATAGGCTAGGCTATGTACAATGTGATGGTTCTTACGTTGCATCCGCACCAGCATACTTCAGGATGATCTTGCTACCACCCGGATGTTCTGGAAAAACCAGCGGCGAGCGATGAGGATGCGAAATATTCACTTTATGACACCAGTGACGTACCGGGCAGAAAATCTGTAACATCATACACTTTGCCTTGTGGTATATGTTGGTAAGCACTTGATACCGAATAGATAGACATTGCGCGATGTACGCACCGTGCACAATTATCCAACAGCTTGAGGCAGTGGCGTGCTCGGCGATTGTGTGAGTAGAAATTAGAGACATGTCAGCAATGTTCGATTTTAATGGGGGTAGTATATCCGTGTTAATAGAACTGATCTTATTGAGTTTTTGAATGCTCCAAGCGGAGCGTGCGGGATATCGCGTGCGCAGTTTACGTCGTCGAGTATGCCATTAGGGGTAGAGTGTCTTCCGCTATGGATAGGGATCATGCCAGCGAGCGCACTAGCGGATCGGATTGAGTATTGCAGTCGGGGATAGACCGGAAAATGGAAGGAAAAGTGGCGTACGCATACGGACTTTGGGCGAAAGTACGATAGGATCGTGCACGTGCTCGCTCACATTCCAAGTAGTCGTTCTATGTACATATTTCTCGATTAGCGCGAGCCTGTCAGAAACGGCTCAAGCTGGCTGGACCGGTCGATTGTGTCTGTGTTCAAATCATGATGCCATGATCATCACCAGGATATCCATAGGTACCTAACCCCCCCTAACTCCGTCCTTGACACTTGTGTCTCAGGCTCGAGGGGTTCGTGGCCTATGTGCTGTCAGTGCTGAGCGCTGATCGCTGACCGGGACCCATGGAATGCATGCATTGATTGTGTTGCAGATTCGATCTGGGCGGAGCCCGAAGACCAGGTATTGAGCAAAGCCTTGGCATACGGAAACGAGTAGAACATCCTCGTCAACATTCGTCCGTGAGCGTTTTCGAGAAGAAAAACCATAATTCTCGAAGGTTTCCGATTTCAGATTTTCCATTTGTGTGTAAAAGTAAATAGTCGTATACAAGTCTGACGTGAGCTATACTACACAAGCTCTAGTACGCATAAAACCCCCGGAGACCCCTGCTTACATAACACCGTCCGTCCGGCCTATTACGCAAGTTACTTTTGCTAAATCAATTGAGTTAACGCCCGTGAGAAAACTCTGCCACGGGACCATAAACGGAAGCATTTAGAACATTGACATAACTATTTTAGGAAATTGAATTTTGTCTTTACTAACCGAACCAACAAGTATCTTACCTCCGCTCAAATACCGTCCTTTCTAGTATGCGCACCGGTAGTCGGTTTCCAACTTGAAAGCTGTTCCGCACGCTCCTTTCGTTGATCGGCGCCGATGCTGTTGTTTTGGAGCTGTGAGCTCGACTGCCTCGGGTTAACTTCATTTCAACCCTGAGTTAGCGCCGTCACGGGAATTTCGCTTCGCACTTCGATTGGCTGCCGGCAATGTGTCTCTCGGAGTACTATGCTGCCAAGACCCTCACACCCTTCCCGTTTTCTCCTGGCTCCGCATCAATCTGATAGGTATCCCGTGCTTTTCCCCTTTCATCCTCTTCTCTCCCCCGCTTGTCTCCGCAACACCTTTCTTTTTTTCCATGTCCAAATCGAATTTCTCAAACTGAACGAAAGAGAATGTGGCTGAAACAGCTTGTATGACTTGTATCCTTGACGCCGTATACGTTATCCTTTTTCTGCCGGTTTACGGTTTTTTCTGCCGCGGAACATTTCAATATGTAAATCACCCGAAGGTTATAAGGCCGTACATATTGTTTACCATCGATATCATCCCCCTTCCTTTCCTTGCCCTGGCTGCCTGTCCACATTGAACTTCAACCCTCAAGCTTTTCAAGCTGTTGCTCACTCGTACTCTTCGTTTCTACACATCTAAATTTTTCTTCTCAATGGCACCTGGTCTTGGTTTTTTCAAGAGCTCCGGCTCTAGCGAAGCACCCGTCGTCCAAGTCAGTCCTGACGCAGAGCCAGAAGATAAGGGCACCTCCCAGGCGACGCGTAAAGCTGATGTTTACTACAACCCCCGTCTCGACCCGGAGAACTTCCTGGAAGGAGAACTCTCTCCTGATGCTGCTACTCGTCTTCGTCAAATGCTTGCTAGGCCAGGTATTGTTGTAAGTGAAATGTATCCTCCGTGCATAAGGTGTTCTTAGTTGTCCTACCAGATTGCCCCTGGTATTTGCGATGGCATTAGTGCCCGTTGCGCACTCGAAGCTGGTTTCGACTGTTTATACCAAAGTGGTGCAGCAACCACCGCTTCGCGCCTTGGCATGCCCGACCTTGCCATTGCTACATTGAACGACTTCGTCCAAAGCGCACAGATGGTGTGCAGCTTAAGTCCAACCACTCCTGTTATTGCCGATGCTGATACTGGGTAAGTACATCCCATATATGTACGGACATTTTGGCTAACGCCTTTGTACGATTCAGCTTCGGTGGTACTGCTATGGTTGCTCGTACAGTCTATCAATACATCCGCGCCGGTGTTGCTGGCATGCACATCGAGGACCAAGTGCAAACTAAGCGTTGCGGTCACTTGATTGGCAAGCAAGTTGTCTCCCGAGAGGAATTCGTTACTCGTATTCGAGCAGCCGTCATCGCTCGCGACTCTTTCCCTGGTAATTCGAACTTCGTAAGTGGTGCTTCGCGATTCTTAATATACGATCTCATGTATCTTAATAGGTCATTATTGGACGTACCGACTCCGCTCAAGTGCTTGGCATGGAAGAAGCCGTATATCGGTTGCAGTTGGCGGCTGATGCCGGTGCCGATGTCTGCTTCATCGAAGGCGTCAAGACTGCTGATCTTCTAGCCTCCACGGTCGAAGCCTTGAAGCCTAAACCCGTTCTTGTTAATGTTATTTCCGGTGGCCTAACGCCTTCCTTCACCACTAAAGAGGCTGAGGCTCTTGGTGCTAAGGTCATCAGTAAGTTGAGCACACTACCTACATGAGCAGGGATGTCTGAAGCTACTTCCAGTTTTCTCACTCGTGTCTTGCGTCGCTGCCGTGCATGGCATTCGTGCTGCCATGAAATCTCTGAAGAAGACTGGCACTGACCATTCGTCGGCCAAGGGCATGGATCCCAAGGCCTTCTTTGAGGTCATGGGTCTCCAAGACGTTGTCGACCTAGACGCAAAGGCGGGAGGTAGTTCTTTCGATGTCATTTAGTGCCAAATTGGCTTTGACATCTTTCTCGTTACTGTGCCATTTTAATTCATCTTCTGATTGTTTCAATTGTATACGGGACGGGCATCGGCATTACTATCATTACGCTGTCATCATTAGATTTTTCTTTACCTCTCCACAAGCTAGCTACACATGCATGCAATACACTTGGTGATAATGTGTAAAATTTAGCCAAGTTACTTATAGGTTCCTGGAATAAGCTCCAGAAATACTCCGACCGGCATCCAGTCGGCTACGGCGCTCCGTTGGTTCTTATGACCTTGGAGTCTGACCACGGTAAGCTTGTAAGTGAACTTTTCAGACAGTTGTGTTCAGGTTCTCTTACGACGCGACCACTACCATGGCAAGCTCAAGCAAGACGTACTCTGGCAAGGAAGTCGCTGTGCACAACAGCCGCGAGAGCTGTTGGATCATTGTACATGGTGGGTCCAATTTCAAATATAATTTCGGCCTTCTACTCGTCTACTTTGGAATCAACAAAAGCGAATAGCTGACTTGGACCTTTTCTGTAGGCAAGGTTTATGATGTCACAGACTTCTTGGACGGTGAGCGCATTGCAATGTGACCAACTCTGGACTGACTGTACCTTCAGACCACCCCGGTGAAACTCAACCTCTCTTGTACAGAAATGTGCATCGACTGATTAATGACCACAGGTGGAAGCAAGATAATCCTGAAGTATGCTGGAAAGGATGCGACGTACGTCATTCTCTATGCCCGCTTTTTTTTTTGTTTCTTATGACATCCTGGCAGTGCAGAGTATGACCCAATCCATCCACTAGATGCCATTACGACCAACCTCAAGCCTGAGAAACAGTCGGTGTTTTCCATTGACATGATTACGCCCAAAACTCACTTGCGTTAGTTTGGGGAGTGTTGATCTCACGACTGTGGAGAAGGTTGAGGTGAAAATTACGGATGAAGAACGTGCACGTCAAGAACGCATTGCTGCTCGCCCACCCCTTTCTGAGATTTTGAACCTGCATGACTTTGAGGTTTACTTTCACCATGTGCACAAAGCATATACTCATGTATTTCACAGGCCATCGCGAAATATACCATGGCGGAGAAAGCATGGGCCTATTACTCCTCAGCAGCTGACGATGAAATTACGAACAGGGAGAATCATGCTGCCTTTCATAGGTATATCTACTCATAAACTAACGTATGGAATCTGATGGAAGTTCCATGCTCCAGGATATGGTTCCGTCCAAGAATTCTCAAAGATGTAACCAAAGTTGATTGGTCAACGACAATACTAGGGCAGAAGTCAAGCATGCCGGTGTACATCGTACATTCTTTATTTCCGATCAACTGTTTAATATTCTAAACAGTTTATTCTACAGACTGCGACAGCTTTGGGAAAGTTGGGTCATCCCGACGGCGAGTTGAATTTGACACGGGCGGCGGCGAAGCATGGCATTATTCAAATGGTCTGGATTTCTGATACATTCATATTGTTGAAATGCCGTTACCATGTTCGCTACAGATCCCAACCCTTGCGTCATGCTCTTTCGATGAAATCATGGATGCTGCAGCCCCTGGCCAAGTTCAATTTTTCCAACTTTATGTCAATAAAGATCGCGAAATCACGAAACGCATAGTACGACATGCCGAGCAACGTGGTATCAGAGGGCTATTCATTACCGTTGATGCCCCCCAACTCGGCCGCAGAGAGAAAGACATGCGACAGAAGTTTGAAGCTGAAGACCCCTCAGAAGTTAGCAAGGCGGACCAAGGGGGGGTTGATCGCTCCCAGGGAGCCGCGCGAGCTATCAGCGTGAGTGATATTTAGGGTTTCATGGTGGTATATGGCTCATATTGGCTGATAGTCTTTCATCGACCCTGGATTGAATTGGTCTGATATGGCATGGTTTAGAAGTATCACTAACAGTAAGGGGCAGAAGCACTCGTCTAAAAATTGCTAGGTCTCATAATTTTGAAGTGCCCCTGATTTTGAAAGGTGTCCAATGTTGGGAGGTACTTTAAGTCATCCTTTCCTGGTATTGAGCCTTACATACATTTTGATCTAGGATGCACTCGAGGCATACGACATCGGACTTAGTGGCATCGTCCTATCGAATCACGGCGGACGTCAGCTCGACTTCGCACGGTCGGGTCTTGAAGTACTCGTTGAAGTTACCACCAAACTCAAAGAAAAACGTGGATTGTCGTTTCCCAATGAGAAGTTCCAGCTCTTCATTGATGGTGGTGTCCGCCGTGCGACTGACGTATTGAAAGCTGTTGCATTGGGTGCTACAGCTGGTAAGTATCCGTGATGCATTGCTTTAGACATTCTTTATGTTGATCCTTGTGCAGTTGGTGTTGGCCGCCCCTTCTTGTATGCGTACTCAGCTTACGGGCCTGAAGGTATTGACCAAGCCCTTCAAATTTTACATGTGTGTTCCTTCTCCCCTAGAATTCTACATCTTCTGACTACGCTGATAGGATGAGTTTGAAATGAACATGCGCTTGCTGGGAGCATGTAGCATAAAGGAAGTTATACCAGAAATGGTTGACGCCTCAAACATCCACTTGCACATAGTCTCTGTGCCTAGTGATAACCTTTATGAGAGCAACTGTAAGTCTCGTATCTTTTCTTTCGTATTCTAATACGATGCCCTTGTAGACGAGCGACTTCAAGGTGCCCGTCTCAGAGAGATCAAGAATAAGCTGTAGACATTTGTGCCAGACTAGAACCGCGGACTCTTGAACCTCCGTCATGCCACTGTAGATTATTTACATGATTTATCGGTCAATCTGAAATAGACTTCGATTGACGTTTGCAGTGCCGTACAAATAGTAAAAATCACGAACTCTAGCTCTTCCTTCACTTGTCCTTCTCTTTGTCTTATGAGAACAGTTAGACGCATTTTATACTCCGCTTGTACTAGTACTGCTAGCGAGTAGAACATGATTACATCTGCTGGAACATTTGACACTATGAATGTACTAATCACAATACTGCGCACCGCCAGATCCGCTAATGGATGATCAAAAAGGATTCTGATAACAAAAGATGAAGTCAAGTTTGTTTGACCGGACGTAAGCCCCATTCAATCCATGGGGATACTGTCGCAGTTGATGAGGCCTTCATACCCCATGTGATTGCATAATGTTCCAGAACGAGATTGAGCTCTTCGACCTCATCAAGCATTTCAAGGCTAGATATTCTGTGTCAAATACAGATAAACGAAATTTACTGAATCGTATTAAGTATGACATAAGAAGAAGACTTACCTTTCTAATTCTGATGGCTCTATGTAATTACTTCTGATGTTACGAAGCGTCAGCGCCTTCGCAGAAGTGAATCCGTGCCTTGAAAAACGGGCGGGAAGAGACTCTAATGAAGGATATGGCTTCGCCCCAGGAAGGGACACATTTCTTGCCTTTGTGGTACATTGCACTAAGATCAAACAAATCAACGTCAAAGTGGATGACTTACTCGAAGATTGTTCATCATAACCTGCCCAAAGGCATCCTCCAGCCCGAACATTTCATACACTGTACATCCCAGAGTGCCTGGCGATGGAGTGTGGGTACTTGGGCTGAAGAAGCCGACAAACCATTGGATCAAGGCTGATGAGGCCTCCGGAGACATGTAAACTAGTACGCATTCAAACAACAGAAGTGTTGGAAGAGTAGGTGACAGATACTCTTTGAAGAGCCCTGGAAAAATATCTGCAGGTGGGTTGCGAAGATCACATGGCAAAAGATGATATCTGGACGAGTGCAACGCCTGCCCGCCAAGATCTGTGACAGTAATCATTGCAGAAGTGATTATTTGCACATGGCTGGGCAATCTCACTGACCTAACTCCGAATGACCAAGAGTAGTGCTAAGCCCACTTCTCGGATTGCGAATGGCCATTGCTTTCTTCAGGGTCACGTCCGGAAAGTCGAGTTCGAAATACGCTCCAACCTGGTCTTTCCATGGTCCATCCTACTGGTCATTCACTGTCAGCCCGTCGTTGGAGGTAGGAAGCCATTAATCACCATCAAACGCCAAAACCGTGTATCGCTCCCTGCTCCGAGACTGACAATCTGACAAAGCTGCCCCTCTGGCTTGGAAATTTCAAGCCATTGTTCCACAAGTCTGTCGATGGCTTCAGATCGCACATAGGTGCCAGTATTGATCAACGGTGGCCGCAGGGGCTGTAGCTGCGCCCGAGGTACCAGGGAACTGATGAAGCGGTCGTTCAGATAGCCTTTCCTAACTGCGGATAGTCGTGCCAACGCTGCATCCGAATCCGTCTGACGAATAGCAGCATCAACATCATGAACTCTTTCGCTTCGATTTATGGGTACGAGCGGGTGCATTGATCATAGATCGATCACGTGCATGAATGGTCGCATTGAATATTTGCGTTCAGTTGTTTGTTCGACTTTGTACCTATCACATCGGGGTGAACGATATTTAAAAGAGGTTTATATGTTGTACAAAATGTGAAGACAATATTTAATATTTAAACTAACATAAAGATGGGTGCACGACTTCAAATTTTGGTGGTGTTTTGTGTGTCATCCAAAATATCAAATATTCACAACCATATTCCCACAGACAATATGTCAACAAACATAAGAAATATAGTCAGATTTTTCATGTCTGCTTCAACTTAAAGTTCAATTTCCATGTAAAACTTTGGAGAAAACTTGAGGTTTTACAGATGACATGACATTAAAACTCGATTTAAATGTCAAGCTTTGGCAAAACTTCAAGTTTTCTCCAAAGTTTTATGTAAGAATCAAACTTTAAATTGAAGCAGACATGGAAAATCTGATTATATTTATTATATTTGTTGACATATTGTCTGTGGGAATATGGTTGTGAATATTTGATATTTTGGATGACACACAAAACACCACCAAAATTTGAAGTCGTGCACCCATCTTTATGTTAGTTTAAATATTAAATATTGTCTTCACATTTTGTACAACATATAAACCTCTTTTAAATATCGTTCACCCCGATGTGTATTGAATATTGAAGGCGCAGAGCAAGAACGCTCTCATTCTTCTTGAATCTGAATTACACATATTACTCAGATCCCTGCCCAGTGCCCACTTATCGCTGAGCTCCTGTAGGCATGGCAGGATCAATTGATTCTAGCGTGTTTGTCACGGGTCGCTGAGATAAGCTTCTAGTGATTATGTCACGGAAATGGTAGTGTCGTCTTTTTTAGTGACTTTGTGGTACTTGAACTAGGATGACTGAAACTTTGAAAGTTCAGTGACTAAATTTAACTTTAATTTTACTTATAATATAATATTGCTCAAGCAGTACTAGTACAAGCTTCCTTGATCATGCAACCAATACTGTATGTCTTCCATTTGTACCCCTTTGAGCTGACAGTCTTCATTCTTATGCAGTCAATATTGAGCATGAAGGCTCCCGATCTGAGTGTAGCTCCGGCATCATTGGTAGGGTCAATATTGCACAGACCCACTGCATGGATTCCCCGCCTTCCCTGCAGGTTTTTCGGGCGAACTAATAGTGCCGTGTACAAGGCCTAATGACAGACATGAACTTTGTCTGCACAAGGTATGGTATGATTTATGTTCGGCCGGCTGACAAGGCCAATCTTACCGATTTATTTCAATAATATAGGCTCAAACAGATCTTATTGTCTCGCCGTCCGTATTGTTCGTTGGCCTTCCTTCCACAACAACAAGCAAATGGATTTATTTCTTGTCCGTCCAAAATCTCGGTAAAGTTTTACAGCTACCTTCAAATCGATAGGCCAGAATCCATGTTTGTTCATTCACCGCATTTGTTTAGTTGTGGAGCTGGCCAAACAAAAGGGTCCCGCCTTAGGCTGCCTATTACGATACTTCGTCGGGGCAAGATACCCCAGAATGGCACTGGACCTGCGCAGCTTTCTCATTCGACACTGTCAGTGTCTTTGACTGCACCCAGCAAGTTGATCAGCAACTGTCTTCTGTTGCTGAGATAGCTAGACAATAATCATCTCCCGTTGTTCCGAATATTCAGAGGGCAAATATAAATATGTTGCGTCCAAATTATGTAAGGAGTGAACGTTTTTATGCAATACATCGTAAACTACTAGTAACTAGTGTTCAGCCCTTGCTCCATACCATGAGGACAGCTTGTTCGTAAGGCGAGTAAACACCATATAGACTCATTGATGTAATGCAGTTCACGCTATGAGTTGACGTCAGATCTGCCAGGTGGCGGACCGTGCTAATACTTAGGTGGCCCTTGCATTGTCTCGAAATGTCATTTGTCCCCTCGATCGTGTGAGTTTCGTGACTTGATATCTGATACATCTTGCGGCAAATTGATACCTCCAAGATGACTTCGTTTGGCAATCTTTGTTCATGCTACTGGTTTCACCATGATGGCGGCCAACTCGGGCTCCATATGGTGGTCGCGCGATTGTGCCCGACCGTCGAGTTCGGGGTTGTCACGGTATTTCGATACAAGTCCGGCATTTGATCTGGATGAAACTGATTTTGCTTGGCGAACATTTTGGAATTCACATTCACAGTTCTTGTTGCTGCTACGCACTTACAGCCTTTTATTTTTCGTACAATCTTAGTCACTCAGATCTACGATCTCAGACCCAACAGGCAAGGCGCCTCCCACCATAGGAAAAATTGGTCATGTTAGTCACGTCGAATGTCCGTAGAACAACGAACGTGGGGTTGGTGAGACTGCCTGCCGCTTCTGTCTAGCCCGCCACGCCAGCCTTTCTTGCTTGCCACAGACAAGCGCATGCCGCTGCGAGCACAACAAGAGTTAGTAACACGGGCCCGACAGACCATCGAGTTCTCAAGAGATAATGTAGACGAATACTCGTTAACGTCCTGTAATCGCTCATTAGGTCTATGTGCCACCATGCCATATGTCTAATAGATGATCAGGGTAGTAGAAGGCAACGTCAGCTCGTCACCATGACGCGAGTGCCATAAAGTATAAGTTCATACTGGATGTCAGAGTGCGCTTGCGACTCCACATTGTGTGCATAATGACTGCCACCCCGCTTCCCATCTTCTGTCAACTATCCCTCGAACTAATCTAGATCCTGGTCGCTGGAAGCCAGACCGTCCTCTTGCGAAAGGGGGTCGCGCGTGTGCAGAGACTCGCCGTGTGGGCTTGCTTGCCTGTCATCATCCGTGACAGGGATGGGCGGCTCGTCCTTCGTCTTTTCAAAATCAGGGAGCATGATAGCACGGTCGATGGCCACTGGGAGACCACGATGTCGCCCGCGAAGCATGACCAGGCATAGTATAAGCTTTGAAAGAGGCTTCAAGGCACCGGAAAATGAGTAATTTTCCTACCACAGCAGGTAAGAACACTAGTACTTCAGTTATCAGCATCTCCATCACTTACGGTAGGTATCCCAAGACTGAGACCAACAGTGCCGTACGCTGAGACTAATTCAAAAACTTGTCGGAGTTGAGCAGAGTCCGCAATTCGATACGATGGGGACATACTGATAGTAAAGATATTGAACCAGCCCTGTATCTCCGTGTTGTCTAAGTTTCCGCGCTACCATTAGTTGAACTATTAGAACTGTTGCGAATCCTCGGCCGTTGGGCTGCTCACCTCTATGATACAGATCAACATCAGTGCCTACGTCAGAGAAATTCAGTCTACTCCCCCACGGTGACTGCGTACAAGCTTACGAGACACAACCACCACATGTCTTGATAGCCATATGAGACAAGTCATCAGGCGAGAAAATTAGACATACCAAATGCCAGTTGTCGACGTGCATGCATGGCCAAGTATCGAGACCATACCGTCATCCTCGGTCCTGCAGTTGAAAAGGCATTTTCATCCTCTGAATCATTATCATCCTTATATATACCCAGGGATTGCTCTTCGTAGACGTTTGTCGAGCGGACACTAAATTGATGAGCATCATAATTACCTATCTGCATGGTTGCCTGTGGCGAACGCACCTTAGTGCAATAGGGTCTTGACAGGCAATCAGTTTTACGCGTATCGTCAAGATAATTGAGGCACTCACATACACTAACATACATCATGATAACATATAAGACCCTGTTCCCTGAAGTTAGAGCCTTTTCCATACAACGATTGCTCAACCTAACTTGACAGCGGGAGCTACTCTGGAAAGCGGAACTATTCCAAACCCCGCAGCACGAACAGCAATAGCCTGATATAATCCAGCGACAACTCTCGTTCCTAAAGGTATGGAATCGATATCAGGGTTACCAATATCAAGGACCAAAAAGCAAAACCAGTCTGTAAAGCTATATTGCCGAGTTCAGTATACGATAATAGCGATAGTCCTGGGGTGTGCGTACTTCATGATGACCAGAATTGTAAGGAGAAACCAAGTTTGGTACGAAGGGAAAAGATAAAAAAAGCATCGGCGAGGATGGTCCAGGAGAAAATGCAGCGTTTCATTCAGTCGAGAATCCCTCGGTACGAGTTTCGTGATGATCCAGCTGCCTACGATGAATAACGAGTTTATCACAGAGATAGCATGCTTACATGAGAAACCGGAGTCTTCAGGTTGTTTTTGAGTAAAAATTCTTATGCGTTCCAGATTGAAAACTCACAGTACAGGCTAACGATGATGAATGATTATTATGCTGTTAAAACGAGGTTACTGATACTCACAAATGCAGTGTTGCCAGCCAGGATACAAAATATCATAAAGAAGATCACTTAACCAAGAAAATGTCAGCAGGAGCATCCAGTACATACGATATATGATACTCGCTTGGATAAGCTGTCTGGAAGGGCACCATGCTCTGGTCGACAAGAGAAGTTCCGGCATTTGTGTACGCCGATACGACTTGGAACAATGAGAACCTACATTCAGGTTCTGTGAGTTGAGGTCTTGTTACTTAGCACTGTAAGACGCTGCTCACCAAGGAACCGTAATTATTCTAAATTGGGCAGGAGGTACGAAATCGCTCGCCCACTTTGGCAGTGACATGTAAGGAGCAATCACCACGAAGGAAACCAGTTGTACGACTACATGATACTACGAAGGCATTTTGAGTTGATGAGGACAACGTGAAAACAAGATCACTCACAGATGCAACTAACCATAGCAGCACATTCAGTGCCCGATATTCAACTCCACCCAATTCCTCAAGTTGTTCGTTGGTCGAAAAATGAAACGCAGAATTCCGCCCAACGACAGCATCGAACGAAATATACGTTACAGGCTTCGTACCCTCCTTGGCGCTAACACTTCCGCCGTGTGTTGGCCTCCCAGGGATACTCGCAGCGCCACTCATAGTCCGTCCCAGCCCACCGCCCGTCAGTGTAGTAGTAATAGGAATCGTCACAGTTCTCTTCAGTCTATTCGTGGTATTGGGAAACAGCCAACCAAACAACATCCCCAACAGCTCGTGGGGCATGGGAAAACCCCCGAACCCTCGTAGCATCTGCTCCTGTGATTGGTCGATATGATACGAATTTGATGTGCGCCTAGATCGATGTGTTTGAATGGTTGGGTGCTGTGCTAATGGCACGCGTGAATGTTGGGGGACTACGGAAGAACGGCGGCGGCGGCGACGAGGACCAGTAAACCCTGAAACTGAAATATCTGATGAGATTTCGGCCGCATCCGAGCGACCGGTTCGGCTACCGACAGGAAAGAGGGGGGGATGGGAACGAGAAACAGTGGGTGCAAAGTCGATAGTTGCTGTCCGTGGCATTCCTGTCGATGCAGATGTTACAGCACCCTCGCCCGCTTCAGGCACGCAACTTGGAAGTTCCCCCAGACTTCCTGAATCGGAAAGACGACGCCCACTGATGCAAAACAAATGTCAGGCTCGCTGGTACCAAAAGTAGTGCTGTACCTACGAGGTATTTCTTTGATCTGCAGGCCCCACGTTGACAGTATCTACATGTAAGTTCTTGATCTCGACATCATTTTCCAACTCAAGTTGACGAGGAAGGGGCCCTTGTTCTTCTACTTGCATATTTAAGCTCATCGCAGATTTTAACAGAGAAACGCATCATACCGCTTTCTGTGATCCGGCCACTCGGGTTGACCAATTTGGGTTGACCGTCCATGCGCCTGATCATATCTGGTCTCAGTCTCCTTGTGCTGTCCTTCGGTGTCGTTTGAGCACCGCCACTAGCAGGATCCTCCGGTACCGTACTAGGGTTGGTCTTCCTTCGGAAGATGCGGGAGGACCATCCATCTTTGCTACCCACAGACTTCTCTGCAGACGCAGTGGCAAGCTGCTGCTTTGCCTTGATCGCGGCCTGTCGGGCGGCCTCTACTCCAAGAATATGATCGAATGTCTTAGCAAAGTAGTACCTGTAAAATTAGGAATGAATATCATCGACGCATACAGTATGAATAACAACCTCCTGGTGTACACCATCACCCACGACACAATGACCTTGAGCCAAGGTTAGAGAAGTACCACGTCACGATCCAAGGAACTTCACGTACTGGGTTTCCAATACACATCTGGATGAACAACAACACTTGCTGCCAAGCGGTAAGCTGGCTCAAGTTCACAGTTGCGAGACCGCACATGGTCATCGCGCTGACTGAATTGTACAGCGCATCAATGTATGCAACTGAATATTTGCCATTGCTAGCATAAAAGATTCCGGAGAATATCAGGGGCGTCAATGTGCTAAAAACACGTGTCATCGAATTCAGTGATGGGCCAATAAACAGCGGTGTTACTAATGTGGCGAACTCACAAGAAGATAACATGTATGCGGAAGAAATTGAGATGTGTCCTGATGGTTTGCCATGGGCCGTGTTCTAAAGATGTTGTTGAGGCCTGCGCGGACATTGCAGCGAAATCGCGCGTCAGGATGGTGGGCGAACTTGCTGAGAACAAGAACGACCCTACATCCACTTCCAACTTGCAATATAATGTCATTGGTCCTGTGACATGCTGATGTAAGCAATAAGTCTATGTAGTAAGTATGCCACTCTATGTAGTGAACGAGAGAAGAGAACGGCCAAAAAATGCCGCCTGATCAGTACGATGTGCGTATTAAGTAGAGTACGCACAATATGAGAATGCTAGTAAAAGCAAAGCATTATCGAAAACATGGACGATAGGTAAAGTTGTTAGAGATGAGGAAGTTTAGCGGCCGTTTTGATTCGACAGTCCCATTATGATAACAATAATAATATGGTAATTGCTAACCTGTGATATCGATGGTCTGTCTTCACACCGAATATTATAAGAACGGAGCGTTTTGCAATGATTCCGCGGAACCAACAGTGTTCTGAACCTTTCGCACGCTTGGCACCGCGGTGTGCGCTCGGCTCTGTTCTTTCACTACCATCCATGATACGCAATACAATGTCAAAATCGAATTAGTACGATATGCGCGAGTGCGCATCACCGCTCTTCATCGAAGGTTCAGAGCCTATCACTGGGTCACCTTCAAGTTCTCTTTCAATCCCACACGTTCTAGCTGGTCCATAAATCGCAAACCTTGCGACGACATTCGACAGATCTCAAAGGACTGACGCTCCAGACTTGACCTACACACAAATTCGTTTGCGCACGGACAGCTTTACACCGCACAAGAGGAACAGAGACGTAGTTGTTGTAATTCATGGTAATGAACGTTTGAACGTCCGAAGGTGAACGGATCGCTTGTACCATAATGCATAGTCAAAATCTCTCCCGTTTCTCGATCATGAACGCATCTTTCGAGTAGCCTCGTGAGCACGCTATCGCTCATCACGGGTCCTACAAGGACTGGACACAGCGTCATGAAAATCAGACCAGCTGGTGGATGATATGATGATCACTGTGTGTAGAGATAAGTCACTAGATAACTATAGGTGGAACTTCAGCCTGGTAGCCGAATGATCCGATAGCGACTCCGGCAGATTTTTCGACAAACTCTGAGCCAAAGTCAAGTTGCATCTCTTATGTGCTGTGGACCGTATAGTACTCCTGCGCTCTTCTCTGGCTTTTGACCCCGCCTCCGTCTTGCTCTCTTAAATGCGACACAACGCGGAAGATTGAAACATCCGAGTCGTTTGCATCTGCGGTATGAATCCTCGGGCCTGTGGATTCAGCCATGATGCATGAGACCTGTAGCCCGTACAGTATTGTTATCATGCACCTCGCACCCACCCTGTAATGTAGCTAACGGCTAGCTAAAGCCTTTGTCTCTATGTGATATTGATCAACGATACCACAAAGAGGACGAACGCAAAAGTATCGTAATGTATATATTCCAGTGTGCGAAACATCAAAAAATTCGGAATATGATCAAAAAAGCGAACGAAAATAGAAATGTAATGAGAATATAAGAAAGAAATGGATCGAAAACGTCGTCACATGCGAGTGGGATCAAGCCACGAGAGAGACTAGCTTGTCGCTATCCTTGAGCTTCGAAACGACCCGGCGAAGTCTCTCAGGCTCATTCTGGAACCCAGCACCTCTGAGCATGATAGCCATATATGCGGACGCCCTGGGAGCATCGATGGTAATACTGTCCAGAACTGCTACCATGGGCATGAATCCCTTCTCAAATCCCTCGAGCGTACATTGTCCGTTCCTCATAGCCTGCGCGAAGAAATCGCTCACCAACCTTGCATCTGCCTCTTTGCCCTCGAGTGCGGACGCAACAAGCTTGTCCACGAGCCAGAAGCGGTGCTCGTCAGGAATATTGGGGAAGTAGTCATCTGCCTTTTGGAGATTGCGAACCGCAAAGAACTCCTTCGCGTTTTCATCAATCTTCCTCACGGTTGCTTTCGTAATCGCGGTGGGTGCCCTTTGAGGTTCTTTGGAAGGAGTCGTGACATGCTCTGAAGTAGTATGAACGGACCGTGGGAGAAGCTGGAGCTTCCTGCGCTGTACAGCGGGCTCAGGAACACTAGCATGACCGTTCCGCTTAAGTCCGGAAGAACGACTGGGTGTCGGGGACATCTTGAGGGTCGGTCCAGGGTTCTGACTGCCCACAAACGCGCTACTCGGACTCGTGACCGTGGGCGCACCTATGGTAATCTTGCCAAATTGTGGCAGATCAACAGTTTTGGGTGGCGCCCATGGAACAGAACCATCCGGAGCAGCCCAGCTATCAGGGCCATCGTGCTCGCTGCCGCCTCGAGGACAACCGAGAGACATGCGTATCTGCCGATTGTCCACGAGACGGAAGCTAAGCTCATGCGGAAGATTGGTAGAGTACACCTCCACCTCTTGAAGATTGTGAACAGCGAAGAACTTTTTCACTTCTTCATCGATCTTCTTCTTCACGTCTGTTTCTGACATGGCCATAGGTGCGCTTTCAGGTTCTTCTTCCAAAGGAGTCGTGGCGTTCTCTTCAGTAGTATGAACGGACCGTGGAAGAAGCTGGAGCCTCCTGCGCTGTACAGCGGGCTCAGGAATGTCACTTGGAGATGTCATGTTGGTAATGTTACCGAACGGTGACAGGTCCCCAACCTGGGGAAGCACCTGCGGAACATATTCACCTGCAACAGCCCAGCTATCAGAATCCTCTTGGGTGTAGTCACTGCTCCTTCGAGATGACATGCTCCTCTTACGCTCTTCTGCAGCTGCAATCTGCTTGGCAGCCTGCAACACGAGTGTCAATGTGAAAATGTTAACGAAACCGATCTATCTTACCAGCCAATGAACTGCTGCAATCGTCACGGGGGCAGCATCTCGGCTCATCCATATGCGATCACGCAACTCGATAACGTCCTGAGATCACGATGATGAGTAGGACAGAAAACGATACCCAAAAAATGCCTCACCTGGAGCATGAACTGCACACGGGTGCTGTTAATATTATTCTTCCACAGCTCTTTCATGCGCATGAAGTAAATGTCCATATGCGCGCGGGCCTTCGGCGTGTCAAGCAACTGGCCAACCGTCTTTAACAGTTGACATAGGCTCTCAATCTTCTCTTCCTCGGGATTCTCGATGTTGCCCAACAGCTTCATCACACAATTGTGCATGATACGCTCCGTCAACATGCGCACCTTGAACAACTCGCCAATAAACGTGATGAGATTGAGACCCTGGCGCTTGGCCCTCTCAAAATCGGCAGTAGTAGCATCCTTGGCGAACCACCCATGCTCAAAGTCTTCTTGACACCGGTTGAGGAGATACTTGCGGAAAAGATGGCCACCTCTGATAGGTTTGCCTTCCGTATTCTTGACCCCGTCATCTTGCACCTCAGGACTGATCTCCTCCATCATCTTCCGACACAGCCGCGCATACATCTCGCTCCAAGCAGCCTCATCGATGGCTTTCTCAAAAACAAGTCGGATGACTTGGATGAGCGTCCGCCCGTCCTTCTCATTCACACTCTTGTTGGCCCAGTGGATGATCTGATCTGAAATCATCTCGAATTTCTCCATCGTGAGCTTGTTGAGTAGCGCCTTGACCTTACGGTCGACCAGCTCAGATGAATCAACATCAGGTTGACCATTGCGGGCCGTACCGGTAGGAACCCAACGGTTGGCAGATGACTCGAGAGGTGCAACGGGCTCGACGCCAGAACCCCGTCCTAGCTGGGATATCGGTGACTCGTTAGCACTACCACGTGTCATAGCACGTCTACTATGTGTTCTGCCAGAGCCACGCATGGGATGGCCAGGGTCGCCCTGGCTGGCTGTGTGCACCATCGGAGCACGCAGTTCAGCAGTAGCACGACTATTTGCAGAACGGATGTTGGATGGCATGGCAAAACGCTGTTCGCTGGTAAGCTCGCTTCCTGGGGACGAGAAGGTGCCTACCTGAAAACTGTTTGGAACAGAGGGTTTCTGGTAGTCGACGTGAGGTTGACGTTTGCGCCAGGTCGTACTTGGGACGAGAATTGTGGCAGACATTGTGGAGGAGCTGGAGATTGGCGCCCAATCTGCATCCTATCTATCTTGCTGCGCAGTGCGCATGTGATTGTTATACGGGCCGCACATTACTGCGTTAATACAGCTTCTTGCAACGAGGCTTGCATTAAAACTTGCTAGATTGAAGCCCGACCCACATGCTGATGTAAACGGAAAGGTCGGAATCTGAAATGATATTGCTGGTACCTGATGTACTGCTAGCTGTAGCCTATGCCGCTGTATGTAGTGAACGATAACAAAAAAGAGGACAAACGCAAAAGTGCCGTGCGATGTATATATTAGTTTGCAGAACACCAAGAACACGTGCAATACGATCAGGAAACGGAAAACGAAAATGCGATAAGAATGCAGGTAAAGAAAAATGGAATCGACGATGTGAGATGAGTAGGACAGATCATGCAACGAGAGAGACTAGCTTGTCGCTATCCTCGAGCTTCGAAGCGATCCGTTGGAGTCTCTCAGGCTCATTCTCGAATCCAGCGCCCTTGAGCATGATAGCCATGTAGTCAAATGCCTTGGGAGCATCAATGGCAATATCGTCCAAAAACTCCGCCATGGGCATGAACCCCTCCTCAATGACCTCAAGCGTACATTGTCCGTTACTCGTAGCCTGCGCGAAGAAATCACCGACCAACCTGGCATCCGCCTCCTTGCTCTCAAGTGCGGACGCAACCAGTTTGTCCACGAGCCGGAAGCGGTGCTCGTCAGGAAGATTGGCAAAGTAAACCTCCGCCTCTTGAAGATTGCGAACAGCAAAGAACTCTTTCACATCTTCATCAATCTTCTTCTTCACGTCTGCTTCTGACATGGCCATGGGTGCGCTTTCAGGTTCTTCTTCCGAAGGAGTCGTGGCGTTCTCTTCAGTAGTATGAACGGATCGTGGAAGAAGCTGGAGCCTCCTGCGCTGTACAGCGGGCTCAGGAACACCAGCATGACCAAGATCAACGCTCGTTTTCCGACTCGACGGACGACTGGGTTTCGTAGATGCCTCAGCGGCAAGTTCAGGGTTCTGACTGAGCATGTGGAACATGTTCGAATTCGAATTCGTTCGAGAAAGTGTCTCCCGCTTGCTGTCCTTCTTGCCGGCCGCGAAGATGCCGCTTGGACCCATTACCATTCCCATGACTGGGCCCTTGGAGATCTTGCCGAACTGCGACAGATCACCAGCCTTGGGAGGTGCCCGCGGAACCGAACTGCCACCTGCAACAGCCCAGCCGTCAGGGCCGTGTTCTTGGTTCCGGTTATCACCGCGTCGGGAACCACCGCGAGACATGCTTATCTGACGGTTGAAAGACTCCTTCTCTGCAGCTGCTTTCTCCTTAGCGGCCTGAAACATGAGCGTCAATACAAACGGTTTCGAGGATGCTAGTATATCTTACCAGCTCGTGAACAGCAGCGATTGTCGTAGGTGCAGCAACGGCATTGCGGCTGACCCATTTACGGTCACGCAACTCAATGACGTCCTGAGATCATGATGAGCACAACCGACAAAGATACCCCCAAATGTCACGCACCTGAAGCATGAATTGCATACGTGAGCTAACGTTGAGACTCTTTCCGAGCTCTTTCATGCGCGTGAAGTAAACGTCCATATGCGCGCGGGCTTTCGGCGTGTCCAGCAACTGGCCAACCGTCTTCAACAGCTGACATAAGCTCTCAATCTCCTCTTCCTCTGGGTTCTCGACGTTGCCCAACAGCTTCTTCACACACTCGTGCATGATACGCTCAGTGAGCATCTGCAGCTTAAACAACTCGCCGATGAACTTGATAAGACCAAGACCCTGGCGCTTCGCCTTCTGTGCAGCGTAGTACTCTTCCGAATAGAGTTCAGCTTCCTCCGTGCTCTTCTTGTCGTTAGCAGCCTTAGTTGCATGATCGTCGGAAGCCTTCGCCGCAGCGGCTGCAGCAGTAGCTTCCTTGGCGAACCACCCGCGCTCGAAGTCTTCTTGACACCGGTTGAGGAGATACTTCCGGAACAGCTGTCCGCCAGCAATGGGCTTGCCCTCCGTATTCTTGATCCCGTCATCTTGCACCTCGGGACTGATCTGCTCCATCATCTTCCGACACAGCCGCGCATACATCTCGCTCCAAGCAGCCTCGTCAGTTGCCTTCTCGAACACCAGCCGGATGACTTGGATGAGCGTTCGCCCGTCCTTCTCATTCACACTCTTGTTGGCCCAGTGGATGATCTGGTCTGAAATCGTCTCGAATTTCTCCATCGTGAGCTTGTTGAGTAGCGCCTTGACCTTACGGTCGACCAGCTCAGGTGAATCGACATCAGATTGAGCCTTCCGGGCCGTACTGGTAGGAACCCAACGGTTGGCAGATAATTCGAGAGGTGCAACGGGCTCGAAGCCAGCGCCCAGGATAGGTGCAACGCCATAGCCAGAACCATGTTCTTGCTGGGACATCGGTGCCTTGTTAGCATCGCCACGCTTCTCCCCACGTTTGCTGCGTATGCGGTTGCTGCCATGCATAGGATGGCCAGGCCCACCTGTACTGGGCGTGCGCACCATCGGGGAACGGAATTGGGAAGTAGTACTGCTAGTTGAAGCAGAACGATTGGACATGGCGAACCGCTCCTCACTGGTAAGTTTACTTCCTGGGGACTGGAAATTGCCCATCTGGAACCCGCTCGGAACGGAGGGTTTCTGGAAGCCACCGATACCCAGACCTACAGAAGCCTGGCGGTTGGCAGAAACGGGCATCGCACCAGAGGCGTTACGATGACGTCCAGAGCCACCGCGGGCCATGGGAAACGAAGCTTGATCGACCGGTTCAATGCCAAGGACATCGAGAGCAGGAAGGGTAGGCGGCTTCTCCTTGCAAATATGCATGAATTGCATCAGGAAGTCACGGTCATATCTACACGAAGCAATGAATGAGACATTCGAAGTGAAAGAAGTAAAACACACCTGAATCGGCCATCCCTGACGTTTGCATTGAGTTCAACCTTGGGGCTCTTGATGCCTTCGGGGTACGCAACCTCGCTGAGATTCTCGATAACACGTGCTGTGAGGAGTGCGGAAGGTGGAGGCGCAGAAATATCTTTCTTGGTGGTTGAAGCAAGGTCGAGAGGGCCAGGACGTCTTCGTGGAATCTCAGTGGGAGGGGGCATCGCAGACGTATCTATCCGAAGTGACTCCTTCAATTTCTTTCCGCTATCACCGTTAAGCTGAGACACAGGAGCTTCGTCATGTTCGGAGACTTCGCCGTCCTCGGGCTCTTGAGACTCGCTGGTGGGTGATGAAGTCTGAACGATGTCAGCAGCTTCTTCAGCTTCGAGCTGGGCTTCCTCCGCTTCAAGAGCATCCTGCTGTTTCTGTTCCTCCTCTTCCAGTGCGATGCGTGCCTGTTCTGCCTCTTGTCGCTCTGCTTCAAGACGGTCTTCCTCCTCCTGACGTAGGCGCTCATTCTCAGCATCCTCTGCTTGTCGTATCCGCTCCTTTTCTTCCTCCTCTATGCGTATCCGGTCCTCCTCGGCCTTCCTCTTGCGTGCAGCCTCTTCCTCCTCTATCCGCTTAGCCTCTTCCTCTGCTTCGCGCTTCTTCTTCTCTATAGCATCCTTCTTCGCACGCTCCTCCTCATCTTTCTTCTCCTGCTCTTTCCGTGCAGTCTCCTCGCGCGCACGCTTCGATTCCTCACTCTCAATCCGTACTGAAACCGAAGGTTGCCGTCGATTGGTCACGACAGGCGATGCGGGTGGGATAGGAACGGTCGGTGGTTGGGGACTGTGCTTCTTGAGAGCATCAAGCGTCACCTCCATGCCATCCTGGCTCTTGATGGTAACCTTGGATGTAGAACGTCCGCCAGGAACAAAATCGCGTGCGTTCGTATTAAGGCGAGGCGCGTTGGTAGTGGAAGGCGTGGGTGGTGGTGAAGATATGGAGGGAGGCGGTTGAGGTGTATGAGGAGGATGCGGGATAGCGTGTGCCATGGTGGGTGTGCCAGGTAGTTGGGGGGCTGCGGGGCGAGGTGACATAGGAAGAGGTCCAGGTTGATGAGGAGGGACATGAGGGACATGTTGCGGGGGTTGTTGGTGCATATGTGGGGAGGGCACAGCATAATACCCCCAAGGAGGTTGTGGTTGATATGGATCCATATACTTGCATCACGTTGAGAACACCGTTGATAAAAGTTTAAAAAAAAATTAAAGTACTAACATAGTATCCGGGCCATGACATGGGCTGCATAGGTACCTGCTGCGCTATACCTCCAGGAGGTGCTTGATGTGGATGCGGAGCCATTCGGGGACTGGCAGGGATAGGTGGGCCACCGGGACCCCCTGGGCCAGCTCCTTGTCGAGACTGGCCTTGCACGTTTGGCACGGCACGAGGGAATGCAGGAGAACGTGGGGTGCCAGAAGGCTGCTGCGGTGGGCGCATGTTATTGGGCACGAATTGCGAATATGAATGTGCACCGAGTTGCGAGGGTTGCTGTGGCTGTGGCTGTTGTGAGGAGGATGACGATGGCTGGTGGTGTGAAGGTAAATTAGAGGGCCGGGTGGAAGGAGAGGATGTGTCGGAAGACGGCTGAGAAGATGATGATGAGGGATTCTGGAAGAGCTTTGTTATGTCTGCTCTGGACGGTTTAGGCGTAGATGCGGTTAATGTTGCGGCCGTTGAGGATAGCGTGCTGGAGTTGGAGAGTGTTGGTCGTGGAGGCTGCTTCGACGACCCTGTGGCCGATGCAGAAGCTGAGATTTTACCATTTACATGGTTGGAAGACGTAGCAGGTACGGATCCGAAAGACTTTACGACTTCGGTTTTGACGGCGGGAATGGCGGCCGGTGATGAAGATAACGGGGCCGAGGCATCATCTATTGATCCAAACACAACGGATGCTAAGAGTGACAGTTAGAACTGGAAATGGTAATTAGCGTGATAATAAAATCATACCTGGTCGTACTACTGATCCCACATTATTTCGAGGGACTGAGACGCCATCTTTTACGGACACGCCCTGGCCTAACGCACTTGGACGTCTCGAGTGAGAAGTAGCTATTGGAGATGCAACATGAGTAGGAGCGGGAGACTGCGATCGCGGCGAAGGGGTTGCGGATGAACTGCTCTGCGGCGGGCCCTTTGCCCAAGCTGACTGCGAAGGGAGCGGCGTCGGAGTCTTTCCAGATGTATTGGAAACTTTGTTCATTCTATAACACAGAAGAAAAAACACGTATAAGACGCGCGGAAGGTAATTTTGGTTGAGTCGTCAGCAACAACGAGTACACAACGAATTGAACTCACGAATTTTCGATGTAACAGATATTTTAGCAAACAGTCGATGATTTGTCGCGCGTGGTGGTCGTCAAGTATGACCTGCCAGCAGGCGAAAACAAAAGATCAGTTGTATGAACCTTGGTTCTGTCTATGAAAAACGAAAGCCCGTCGCTGTCAGTTGCGATCTCGGCAGGTTAAAAGGATGATGTCTTCCTGCTATAGCCTGAGGCTGTAGGGAAACGACGGAGTACAACAAGTGCGTGGGACTCGAGCCAAAAAAAACAACCCCTACAGTGGACCCCAGAAACCTCAGTTGGTCCCCGTTCACTCAGTCGGCAATCCACTTTTTTTTATTGTGTCACTCATTGACTTGGAACCGACGGCAGTGAGCTCGAAACACGTTCTTATAACACGAGTTCTTTAATCAACGTCATTTACACAACCTTTAGAAGACACATAACAATCCATGCCAGAGACAGACTATTCAAGTCGGTGATAAGAAGTTCAGCCGTAACCGGCCAACAGGCTTAGTACGAGTACTACTAGTTCCTGCCCCTGCAGGATCTCGCTTGAAGCCCGTCTGGACTGTCATACTATTATGAGCGACTCTAGGTGAGTCTTCAGACTGATGAGCCTAGTGTACTCAGATAGTCCCTGATGCGTTCTTGCCGCTCATACGCAGACCCGTCATTGCCAGCACAAGACGTTTGTATTTCATCCGCGTGTACAGTATCACCGCAACGAGAATCGGTCCTGAGCTATTTATTTCATCTATTTACTTCTTGTCATTTAGGTTTACTCCGGACAAACGTTTATCGCGCTGAGCTCACAGACATTTTAATGTCTATTTGTATCTCATCTCATCTAGGTCATCGAAGGAGATGCCAGCTGTTTTTGTACTAGGCTACTAACTATTTCTGACCGATACAGCTAATTGTTCCATATATCCAGTCTCTTGAAGATTGGCACCCACTAGCCCCTCAGCCGAACCCTTCAATAATGAGCATCCTGGAAGACCTTTCTCCTTACAGCAGAGGATAGACAAGCGTTTGTCAGAGTAGTTCCTATGTGCAGCTTACTGCATTGCTCTACACTCCATAGATACAAGTTATTGCATAACCCGAGTATGTCACCAGCCGGCCAGTGTGGGTTACGACTCCCTGACGATTCGATTTCTGTTTGATCCAGATACAGATGAAATGACATTCGTATCACCGAGGTCTGTCTCGAACTCTCAGGTTTCAGGCAAAGATGCTCACCTTATTTTAAGCCACGTTCACCATGCTAATGGTAGGATACGAAGTGGGACTGCATAGGAGATTTCAATTATGCTATAAGGTTTTCCGTTGCAAGTTTTCTACCCACGTAATATGTGTTTCTCACATTGAAACTAGAGAATACCTTGAAGCACATCGCCGTGCAACACTATCTTGCCAAGGTCAAGTAAGCACTTGAACAGGAGCATACCAAGATGGCATTATGACGGAGTTTTGGAAGATGCAGAGCGGGAAACATCGATGAATGTATTAACCGCAATTTTTTTCACAAAGCAACTCTTGCCTCCGCATTTAAAATACTTGTGTCAAGTGTCCCTGTCATGCTCTAGAACGGGAACGATACTTATCTTTAGCCCTAGATTGGATCGATTAGACCTAGTCGACTTCGCACCAGAAATCTGTGTGGAATATCTGAATAATCACAGTGGCCAGATCCACCAAGCATGCTCGCCAAGAACAATACGAACATTATTATACACAAATCGTCTGTCATGGATTGGTTAAATGTCACCCCTTATGTATACTGGCAGCTGATTACCCATTGTTCGAACGGCATAGGGTCATCGATGTAGTAATTGGTGATCCGGGCCCAATAGCAAACTGCGACGTGCCCACCCACGACAGCCGATGTGACAACTCACTTATCGTTTTTTTTTTTTAAATTGAGCATGGCCCGGTATCATATGTAAGAACGGTTCCGCGGGAGCAAATCGTGACGTATGTACATATCAGAGAAAGATAATTAGACCTGCCAGTGAACATGCGATAAAACACGTAACCAGAAATGGTACGGTATCAAAACAGAACCGAGCCGAGATAAAGGGCACGGCGAAATACGCCTGGTATGATAGCATTATTACGAGGTAACAAGCTGAACAGTGGAAATGCAGCATTAGATGCACCAGTGTGCACAACAATCATGACCTTCTTCTTGCGCAGGTTGTTGTGTCACCGTTTGCACTTGAGGTTGGGGCTGTAGCTTTCACTAGCGTCGAGTTGGGCTGTACCACGAGCTGAGCTTGATGACTGACCAGTCTCAGTATTACGGTTCACAGGGCAGTACGTAACGTAGACCTTCTGAAGATTGGGTCATGGATAATGGGAGGGTATATGGATGTTCCAGAAGCGGCGAGCCGAAGATCAGTTAGGACACTTGGGACGATAGGAGGTGCAAGATGGTGTCGAAGCATGAGAAGTCTTTGAATGCTCATTGAGCATGCTGTCCCCTTTACATGACAAACCACAAGGCTTACCTGAAAAAGGTCGCCACAATCATCACTATACAGCTGTGCAACCAAATATTTGTAGCGTCGGCCTGTGAAAGTTCTGTGAGCGAAAAGGAAGGCGGTCTAATGCATGAGTACTGGCATGAAGGCAAGACAAGGCGACGGCTGGGTCAAGTTTCCTTCTGTGTAATGTGCCACCTTGAAGTGTAGTTATAAAAGCACGTACCGGAAGCTCAGGAGCTATGTATGAGACCATCCACAAAGCAAGATTCCTGCCACGTTCGTCATATGCGAGGTATCTCCGATCTCGAGAGAATAAGGCAGGCGGCCCGCCAACTAACACTTTGCTATCTCCCTGTCTGAGTTACTGGCCTAGCGGTTGATAGAACTTTGTTGCAAGAAGACAAAACTCAAAAGACCGTCCTCGTGGCCTTCAAATTGATGCTCTGGTGTTGACTTTTTGAGTTGTACTGGTGAAGCATCCTCGATGATCGACTCGGATGTCGTATGGTTCAGAATCCAAAGACATAGCTCGTTACGGTTAGTCATCTGTATGCATTTTTGTCTGGTCGTGGTCAAAAAAGAATTAACCAGTACTCACTGGTATCGTGTAGCCCAGTGTAGCAACTAGCAAGCCAGGTCTTGTAAGCATCGCCGCAGGCATGGTGTGTCATAACAGCCACTACATGTTCATCCGAGTCAGGAACTTCAGGATAATCCAATAGTGCTAGCGACGAGCGCGCCGTTTACACCGTGCACCAATACAATACTGTAATTGATCTGCCATCGCTGTCATTGCTGGAAAATGGCACCTCAAGTTACTTACTCAGATGTCTAGTACTACTAAGCTTAGTCACTCCCTTTCCACGCAGGCGGCAGGGCGCTATCACTTTCCTCATTACGGCCATGTTCCACTGCCTTCGTCACGTCTGGAAGCAATACCCGTTCTGATTCAAAGTTTCAAACAATGAAGGTGAAAAGTGCCCCAGCGTTGTTTTTAAACAAACCCACCATCAAATCCATGTCCTTTTCTCCAGCCTAATACTTGGTCACCAGCTTAATTCCAACGTCACGGTACCGACATCATATGTGCCTACTAGAGATACAATATGAAATCGGAAGGGCAGTGTCCTTACTGGACTGCAGATGTGGTTAGACATACGCGCCCCGCGATCTCCAGATGACATATGGATTCCAGTGTAATAACCCGTTGTTTTTGAACGCGTGCGCTACATTCCCTACACATAGGCTAATGTCTACTCAGCAGGGAATGGATCGTGATTGAAATCTACCTACAGGTTCGCGAATACAAGGACCCTCGGTCCATTTGGTCCCGAATTTCCAAGGCTCGACATCATTCCTCCGGTAGCTAAATTTACTGCTGTGCAAGTGCTGTCTACTGATACTGTCGTGGTGCAAGATTCTCCAAACTTTATGGCAAATCATCATCCGATAAAAGTGCTATGCGCTGCAGGTCGACTGAGCGAAGCAGCGGAATTGTTCTATGACATGATACGCAAGTTTGACGATGGCATAAATACTGAATCAGAATTCGTCGACTGGTTGATGAGTAAGTCCCGTCCCGCACTACGCCCTCGAGGAGATCATCTCGAAGGAATCTCAACATCAGGTTTCAGACGATTATGTGTTGCGGCATTAGTGAAGGAGGTAGATGCGGCTTCACGCACCGAAAACCATGGATGGATTGGTACCCAGCGCTCAGCAGCAATAGTTCTTGATCCATTACGGGATGACTTTTCCGTTAACTTGGCGAGGTAGGCGCCGCAACACCCTTATGGGGGTGTTCTAGAAGTAGCACAGCAGGTATGCTTGACTTTGATCCCCGTTTTACATGTACCAGAGCCCCAGATCTCTGTGATGATACAGAATTCATTGTCAGGCGACTGGGCTCGACACCCCCCTCATCGCCATGGGATCTCAAATGAAACACGCGGCGCTTCACCACTTGCAAGATTTCGATAACGGGATCATAGCAATGATTGTATCCAGCACAAGGTCTTCGAAGCTAGACCATGCTGGTGATTCATAAACGCGTGGTAGGCATTTACACGCTCACCGATCAGTGTGTTGCGCTAATATGACCCTTTTTGTTACAGAGTTGCGCCAGAAATACATCAGTCCATCTGAAAGAAAGAGAGCGACTTGAACAGCCCAACTTTCTTCACCACGAACACTGGGCCGTTATGCGATTGCGGGGCACTGATGAGTTATTCGAAACCTGCGATGAGTACCAGGACATCGTTTCATTGATGACAGCTTTCGTGGAATCCTGACTCGATCGCATTTGAGTTGGGGTCAGTAGACTTTTCTGATACGTGATATTGTCGCACAAATGAGAAGCGAAGATAATCATTGTTACCCAATATCCAGAACAATAACAATTCACATTTTCAATACAGTCGACAGCATCATAAAACTGTTGCTCGCTGACAAGGATATTGCGCTGGACCAACGAGATAAATGACGTCTCATCGATCAACGTGTTCTTGTGGTATCGTAATCCATCTCTCCGAACCATCGCGTACTCGTCAGATGTTTCTGGTTCAGCTACATCTGGCAGGGTGAACGAGGGTCAATTTTACTAAAATTTCTTGCCTTTTTGGCAGGTTTTTTTTCCAACAAGGATTGGACCTTGTATGGCGATAATGATCTGTCATCTGACTACAAGGAAGTCCGTTCTCCGCGAGGTGGAGGAGGTGACAGCTGTCGGTTGCAAAATTCCAACCAGGATTGGATGATGCTCGACTAGCGCTCGAGCTGCAATATGTCACGACCGTGACACAGGAAGGCTGTACCATATATTCACTGTTAGACATCTCCGGTGTCTTGAATGGAGAAAATAAAGAGAAGGCACTGAGGAGGCTCTCGGTCTGTTTCTACAGGAGACACCATACTTGATTGGATCGGGAAAACATCGGGATTCAATTTTAATACAGTACTCGCTTCCTACAGCATTCAAAACTCTTACTAATATACTTTTTTCCCCCGCATAAAAGCACGAGCAGGAAGCCAACGAACTGAGCTGCGCATATACCATAAAGCGATTGGGGTCAAGGTCTCTGCAGAGATCGTGACGAGGCCGCTTGGTGCCATCAGTCGCAGGACATAAAGTGGTCGGTTTAAAGCTCACCGACAGAAACTCTTGATAAAAATCTATGATTTACTGTGCAAAGACTGGGCATAAATGCACGTTAGGGCTCCTTATCCGATCGGGGAAGCCACTCTGAGCCATCTTGCTCTGGCGGTAGCAGAATACAAGAGTCTCGCGTGTGATCACCAGATCATCGCTTAAGTCGACGATCTGAGTCGCATCCTAACCTCGAACGTTAGTATACTGATACTTTAGGCGTACACGGAGAAATAGGAAAACTCACGCCAATGTCATTGGAGGCAGCAAGAACCATACGGGTTTGATGAGGAAGTGAATAGATCGAAGAAGATAGGTCGATTAATATGATGAACTGATGAACTTTCGAGAATCTGGGGGTGTTCTGTCAAGTTCGATGACTACAAATGAGCATTTTATACGAGTAAGTCGTGTCAAAGTGCTCCTGTGGAATGTAGGAGAAAGTGGCGGTAAAACAAAGGGAGCATTGCGGTGGCATCAGGGCAATGTCAAAGTGTGTTGCGACGAGGTGAACAAAGGTTATAGTGCGTAAGGGAGAGAAAGGGAAAGTACAGAGTATTCCAGCATCAAGAGGAGTGAAGCTCCTTGTGCTGGTGGCATTGACATTCGAGCGTTGTTCGGGAAGTACAAGAATGTACATGGATCCTTATATGCGTGCAGAAAACAAATAACTTGAAACATGAAGTAGGAAATTTGAAGGTAGCGGCAAGTGCTTTCTGGAGAGAAAAATTCCCCACATGCTTAGTCACATTGGCGGCAGATTGACAGAGCGGGACTCTCCAGTAGAGTTGGCGGTAACGAACCAATATGAGCAAGGTCAATACCCTCGTCTTATAAAGTTTGGCACTCCGCAGGTAACTGAGAGCAAAGTTTTTTTTTTGCTTACCATAATGTGGTACGTCCCTTGGGTGAAGTTTGACTAACATTCTTGCAATTGCATGCAGAGTGCATCCGGGGATCCAAATGAGATAATATGCTTTTACACCCCTCCTTCCGTACCTCGGATGCACTGTAGCATCACAAATAAAGTGAGCCAGACTGAGCGAGTGTGCTATACATCAAACGGAGTAATGACAGTGTATGTCAAAAGTAATTATAACGCACTTCCATGGCTTCATCTTCAAGTTCAACGGTCGTAGTCGCTAAGACCCAAATTCGAGTGTCGGAGCAGACACTAACAAAAGAACTCCAGCTGGATACTGTTGAGCAGCGGTAAATCGACACTCCATGATACTGCAACGCTCCAGTCTGGGTTATGTGATACTCAAGGACTGTACACCCAAGGATCCACCTGCCATCTAAAAGTTCGAGCCATACGTCGCCCGAGGGATTTGGAGAAGAGTCTTTGAAGCAGACTGAAGGAGGTGACAGATACACTGTTGTCAACTACCTGCTGCAAGGCAAAGCAGATGATGAAGCTTGAAGACGCAGCCATGTCGCCAAGCGAAATGTGAGCAACACATAGCAGCAACATGACGAATGAAAGCGTGGGAAAATGGATAGATATTAAATAAAGGGCAATCAAAGTTCCGGTCGAAAACAGATATTTTTTTTGTATTTTCAGGAACTTCTGCCAGCAGCCCTCTCCCATAACACTCTGTATGAAGCGAAGCAAAGTCTGATTCGAAGACGACTGATCCTCGTGTCCAGCATGTGCTGATCGATCATGGGTTTGATTGTTTCAGCCATGTAGAATTACAGATACCCTCTTTTTGGTTTCTACGCGTCTCCAGTACAGAGGATGATGAAAGAGCGATCAGCGCGGCTAACCTGAGATATATCAAAGGATGAGGCACTGGTAATGCACATACTTTGCCACGAGGCTTTGACCATATTATGCAGTTGTTCTTCGCCTATTCTAATGATTCTATGATCCGAATCCTTCTCGTTGGCCGGGCCTGGGCTAGAGCAACCCAGTCCTTGCAAACAAGACCCTGGAACCCATGACCTCCCTTATCAAGCACACGCAGAGTTTCACACAAAGCTATCGCCCAGTCACGGACCACCCTCCAAAACAAGTGATTGCTCGACTCGAGGTAATATTAATTGATTGACTACCGGTATTCGGAATATGATTTGTCCCATTTGTCCCTCACTTCCAGTTTATTTGGTGCAAGTGCAGCCGTTCTCAGTACACACTATGTGAGCACATTTCGCCTCTGAATTAGTGATGCATACTGATGCATCTCAGGATGGACGTAGATTTCGAGTCTGACTTCCGTGTCAAATTCCATGCGCCTCAACTAGCGCCGATGCACATTCCGGGCTGGGATTACAGCAGTACTCCAGAGCTCGTCGTGAGTCTAATCGCCATCGCCGCCATCGATGACTCTCACGTAACTGTTTTCATCTATTATATTCACCTAAATCGTCGTGCGTGTGACCCCCTACTGAAACCAATCTCCATATCCATCCGCCCTTGTTATTTGATTCATCCTGATCACTATCATCTAACTCAAGGAATTTCCTGGTTGTGTACCCGACGAAGATGCACTCGCTCTCACCGAGCTCCTCCACCGTCTTCACTCTGCGACTAACCCGGACGACATCGAACGTCATCTCCGCGCGCTAGCCCTCATCTGGGAAGATTACTACCTTCCTAAGTTTCCCGTTCCTTTCTTCCAGGTGCGGGTTGCCGACGTACGCGCGGCCGGCGGGTCCCTCAGTACTGCTCTCCCACTCTACGATGAGGCGCGTAGTTCGGTGGTATCTGTGGGCTGGGGCTAAATTATCTTATTGACTTGCTTTTCCATTGGTATCTCCCCCTTTTCTCAATTCCCTCAATCATATTGTTTTTTTTGGTTCTTCTCTTTCAATGCAGGTTCTGCATGGTATCACTGGCCAGAATGGTGCGGCATTTGCCCAATTCGTGTCGACCGTGCGGATGTTAGCGCAAGGTGATACGGAGCAGCAAGGTGTGACCCTGCATACGCGCGTCACAACATCCTGATATTCAACACTTCATAGCACGCAGCACCGGTTCTCTAACTTTCTTCCAGCGCTGGAAGCCCGCGCGCGAGCATGCTAATCCCTTCAATTGGCCCATGCTCCCACCAGCGTCAGCCGATATTCTAGCGGCATGGCGCACGAGCCCATACCAGCGGCAGTACCTCAACTACATCTGGATCAAGGCACATTACCTCGAGGGCACCTTCCACTTGACAGGGGAGGTGAGTTGTTCAACCGTGGACAACCAAACGCAGAAGTGGCGTTGCGGTTGAAATAGTGGCTCCAACATTAATGATTTTGTCAACTTAGTCTTCAGATGCACTCACTCATTGGGGATTTGCCCCCCATTTAGTGCGATGTGATGCTAGAAGCGATCTTAAAGACTCTGAGGCCATCGTTCAAGCGCTGATTGACCTCGAAGATGTAAGCCATCTCCCACCCTTCCTTATCACCTCACTCAACCTATTCAACTCGCCCAAGGCTTTCTCTGCCACTATTCCATGCCACGAGCGGCCAGAGCTCCTAACCCCTGGACTGGTACAAGTGGTGCACGCTAAGCTAATGCGCACATCAAAAGTGAAGATCAATGACCCAATGGTCGGAGGCGTGCATTATATCAATGCAGGGTTCACCCGCCAAACGACGCAGAAATCAGTGGTGAGACGTAGTCAACAGTATAATCTCGCATTTTGCCCTGCCGAGCGCGTGGACCAACAGCTGGAGTATATATGTCGGATGGGGAAGGTGAGTGGGCGTTTATTCGCGGGACTTTGTGTGGCGCTTTGCGACGACTGGGGTACTGATGGTATGGTACAGCAATATATTGCGCGCTGGAGGAACCCGTTTGCGACGGCTGCTTGGCTTCATGTCACTTTCGTTAGATGCCATCCATTTGACGTGTGTTTTCTTCTTTCTTCCTCGTTCCTTGTAATCTAACGTGGGCAAAGGATGGAAATGGTCGCATGTCACTCCTCATCTCCTCTATTCCGCTTATGCGTCATGGATTCCCGCCGCTCTGCATCACTCCATCACTAAGGAGTGTATATTATGATGCGTTGAACATTGTGAGCGTTTTCCACAGATCATTGCTCCAATCTACTTTATTCTAGTATTTCACAATTTTCTCACGTGTTGTTTCGTTCTGTTGTCAATTTTCCGATTTTGTCTTGTCACCTCACATTATATACTACCTGTGCCCACACTAGGCAATGCTGACGTCCTATAGGCCTGGGAAGGGGATTTCCAGCCCCTTATCAACTGCTTCGTGGACTCAATGAATAACAGTCTCGAGGAAGTGCAACGGATTATGGGCGCTGCTTAATCTAGGTGATCTGCAACTTTGGTCGAAGAAGCTCAAGTCGTCGCCGAGTTGGTTCTATGCTTGGTGTTGTATCATCTTGGTCCGTTCGAAAAGGAAAAAAAGAAAGTGTAGAAGTGTTTCACAGTAATGCGTGTGTCTCTGTATGCATTCTTTTGACGTTTACTCGCCGCGTTTGTAGTATATTAATCTCCTTTGCTTCTTTCCAGGCTCATGCTATACTCTTCGAAGCTTTCCCCTTTCTTTCATTAGCTTCCTCGCAGAATTACCCCTCCCCATTGGTTTCATATTATCATTTCTGTTACGATCACTTATCGGTGATTCCAAATACCTATGCCTCGCCATGTATGATATATTAGCTGGTAAATTCTGGAATTTCCAGATGTACTTTTTAGCGAAGGATTGACTCATGAGTCAGATCACGAACGATTTACAAGTCACGGGGAGAAGAACAAGCTTACGATACCTTAATGGTACCAGTTCAAAACCCGCCGAGTCCTCAGGACAACGGCTTATTTTGTATTTTGTCTTGTGCACTGCTACACGCGATGAGCTGTAATTTGCACGGTGCAGGTGACTATGTAGATTCGGGAGCAAAAATCGGAACAGATGTATTGAATTGATTGGCAGACGACCTGAATTGACTGTGGTACTCACAAGAAAAATTTCTATCTCCACTGTCACACCAGAAGCTTAACTTTGATCACAGATTAACGGATGGACGAATCCTTCAGTTCAAGATCTACGTCAAATGATAGTCACATGGAGGTGTAGGTCAACCTTACTTGAATAAGAAATCATCAGTGTCTGCACCATCTTTATCAAACCAGTAACTTCACGGATATTCATCGCCCCTTATACAGGACCCATATCATCACTTGCTCACTGACGGCTGTAAAGATCAAAGAATGGAAGCACATAAAGATTGTGAGGCCTGAGGCTAGTATTAACCCCGCATCTTCGGCATCTTATTCGCCTCGACCGCTGCTTGTGATATATCCTGGCACATACAAAGACGCCGCACGCGTCCCCGGATACGCCGCTCATACACCTAACCCGCTAGCAAAGCGCGTGATGGTTAATTCTGAATGGAGAGCCGCACATACCTGTGGCACCGGATTTCATAGGAGGATTTTATGATTGCAGTATCTGTCCACATGGAAGGCTAAGCTGAACGATTTGGTTCAACGTCCATTGCCTACATTGGACCTTCCATCTTTCTCCTAGGTCGACAAGGACATCTTCGATGCGTTACCAGGCAATTTCAGGAAAAAACTAGAAGTTAAATATCAGCGCAGATCACATTCACTAATGCCGGCGGAACAATCCTCTCATGACATCCAACCCAAGATCTTGGTCAAAGGCGTTAATATCAAAAGAATAACTCAACGACTTGCACCTCAGAACAGAACGAGCGTGTCTCCCCACAAAACCACGCTCTTTGCAAAACGTGATGTCCCATCGTGTATGCGTGTATCTGACGCAGAGCTCCGCAAACTTGATATCGACCCAGATGTGTTTGCTGCCTTGCCTGTGGATTTGCAGCGCGAGTAGATGATCATGGTTCGACATGCGAAAGTGAAAATCTCAAAAATGCAAGATCATTGAGGGTTCTAGCCGGACGCCATCTGCACCTTATCACAAGAAATCCCCTTCTAAAGCTAAGCACCCGGGGCCTCCTCTTTTGAAGCAGCAAGGCAAGCAGCCAAGGGAGAAATCGCACTTCGCTGAAACGGGAGGTATTCAGAACGTCGTCGAGCCATGGGTCAAGGGATTCACGGAATATCCTCCGAAGCAGAAAGACGTCGACCACGTCAGCAAATTTTTGGTGCAGAGCGTAGAATAGGCTGATACAGGCATAGAAAAAACCATTGCTGTAACGGAGTGGTGGCTTGTCCTCTTGAGGAGGAATTGGGAGGCGCGGAGGAGAATCATGACGAAAGCTCAACTGCGCAAAGCATGGCGAGAGCTTGGTGGGAAGCATTCTAGGAAGTGAAAGCCAAAGTTGATATTGCCGCCAGACGATGCTTGGGTTGTTCATTATCTCTTAAATGATGGCCTGATCTGATACGGAGTGATTTAGGCCTCTCAAGTAACTTGCTTGGTCCCAGAAGCTAAGAAGAGCTGGACAGGGTGTCCATGTTTCTTCGCCATGCGGGCTATCACAAATGAGAATTTCATCAGTCCAGCACCTTCAAATGCGACTCTGATGTCTGCCTCCTATGTAGAATCGATCCTTGTGCGTAAAATGTGCTCCGGTGGGAAACAACGCCTGTGTAGATTCTGCAGAAAACGGTTTCATTGAATCTGCGACTAAGAGCGAGCCCCTTGGTTTCAAATATGACCCAAGAACCTTTGTAATACCTTCGATAGAAGGGAAATGATGATACGTCGATGCACACTAGTAATTGTTAAGGTGAGAACGTGGAACATTACAGGCGGAGACGTACCACAATCTGTCAATCACATCAAACTCCACTCCATCCAGCTAATTTGGGGCAGTAGTAAAGGTCACAGCAGTACACAGCCCTCATATCCTCGGGTGGTATACCCTGATTAAAGACGTAGGGGTTGCACGGCGGCCAAGTCTCTTGCTATTAGTTTCGAACTCCGACCAATTGTGCTTTTCAACAACCAAGACTCCTTCACACATAAAGCTCTTTAACCGCTCAGCGCTAGAACTCGACATGGCCGAATATGATTATCTCTTCAAGGTCCGTATACTGAATTGATAATAGTTGATACGGCGCTTATCAGTTTCTGCTCCATAGGTTGTTCTAATTGGTGACTCTGGAGTCGGCAAATCGTAAGCGTGTCTCAAGTTTCGTTTATCGTTTCCTAGCTCACAGTAACCTACAGAAATCGTAAGGAATAGTGTACTGATCAGGGGAAGTACGACCGCTTATGCACCATTCAGTTCTCTCGCGATTCACTCGTAATGAGTTCAACCTGGAGTCAAAATCAACTATCGGTGTCGAGTTCGCAACCCGTTCGATCACTGTCGACGGTAAGACGGTGAAGGCACAGATATGGGATACTGCAGGCCAAGAGCGTTACCGCGCGATCACCTCTGCGTACGTGGTCGCCTTCTGCGGTTGTAATTTAAGCTAATGTTTCTACAGGTATTACCGCGGTGCCGTTGGTGCTCTGTTAGTGTATGATATTGCTAAACATGCCACGTACGTCAACGTAACGCGGTGGTTGAAGGAGCTCCGGGATCACGCCGACTCGAACATCGTTATCATGCTCGTTGGAAACAAGAGTGACTTGAAACACTTAAGGGCAGTTCCTACCGAGGAGGCGAAGTCTTTCGCAGGTATGTCTTACGTGAGCTGACTGTGATTGAATAACTCATGTGCTAGTTTTCTGACAGCGGAGAATGAGCTTTCGTTCATCGAGACCTCGGCGCTGGACGCATCAAATGTCGAGTCAGCTTTTCAAACCATCCTAACAGGTATTTTTTACTCTTTGTATCAAATGGCATTTCACTGACGTGTCCTCAGACATCTACCGCATTGTCTCGAGCAAGTCGCTTGAACAGTCTGCTGACCCCATCAAGGGACCTACTAGTGATACTATTCCCGTAGCGATTGACTCTTCCACACCTGCAACAGGTAGCAAATGTTGTTAGGTGATGTGGATAGAGTTGCTGTTACTTTTCGTAACTGTAGCCTTTGCTGTAGCAATCTGGCAGGTGTGTCTGTAGTTCAGCGTGTATAGTTACATTTTTTCTTTCTCTTAATAGGATTCTGCTTTGTGTGCCCCCGAGACTGTCGTGGTGAAGCAAGTCATGACAATCGCTAGTCGACGCAGTCCCTTCCAAGCTCTTCACCAAAAAGGTAAAAAGGTTTGCGAGCAGCGCGTCTGAGGATTCATGCACATGCCCTGATCTCCTACGACTAACTCGGCAGATTCTGCAGGTTGCGGGATTACTTCCATGGCCACAATACGTCGGTCCAAATCCACACTGTCCACCTTTATCCGGCTTATCAAGTGATGACGAACTGTATGCCAGCATTCTCGACGCTTTCGGTTTGCACAAACAGGTACGAGAATCATTCTTTCTACCTGGCATGGCGGTGCAGGTCCCTGGCTTCCAGTTCGCTGACCCTAGCTCCGTGCTATATGATTTAGAAGAGGATGCCGACAACATTAATGCCAACATGTACCGCAGCCTATGCTCGCTGACGTCAATACCCTACTTGCACGCGATAATACCACTCGGATCCGTTCCCGGAGCCACTTCTTATGGTCGTAATTCGAAACAGCGAAGTCATGTATGAATCCGTCATGTTGGCATAATCATCCATGTTCCCCCTATGGAACATCCATCAAACTCTGGGAATTTAGGAAACTCTAAAGATACTCTATGGTCAACGTCTTTTAAGCGCGGCAGTTCATCTTCATACAAGCCACTTCCAGGATAAGTGCGCACCTCTCCGGTTCAATTCGGTAACACTTCGCTGTTTACCCCTTAATCCACATTAGCTAATCGTAAATTTGGCCAGATATCCCGACATATCCATATCGTTTATCGTTCACTGATCGTGGCACAGGTCTAGTATTTTATTCCGCCCTACCGATAGATCAGTACAACATCCAAACCACACATGTCTGAGTCTGAGATCTAATCACTAAACTACACCAAGATCTACGCCATATCTCTGAGTATGCGCACCGAAACTCCAAATACAATTCATCATTACTTCCACTTTCCAACCAAAACACCCTAATCCATCCCCTTAGCAGCCTTTACAAATGCACGTACCTTCTCCTCGTCCTTTCTCCCTCCCACCCTCTCAATCTCGTCATCAACCCCATCACGCTCGACCCCCCCACTCACATCCACTGCCCACGGTCGCACACGCTCAATCGCTTCGCGCACATTCGAGGGTTTGAGCCCACCAGCGAGGATGAGAGGGAGAGGGAATGTGCTTATGGGTTCTTCATCAACGTTTTGTTCCCCCGTACGATCCACAGCGCCACTCAGGGATGCGTTGACGCTCACGTCTGGAGAAGTGACAGGCACCTCCCCTTTCTTGACGAGACGCGCTGCGAGCGCCCAGTCGAGAGTTTTGCCTGTACCACCGCTGGGAGACGAGGACTGAGCGGAGGAAGTGGTGTCGAGCAGAATAAAATGATGGTATCCGGGCGTCGTGAGGGTCGCAAGGGGATCCGGAGATGGAAGAGGGGCGGTGTGAGTTTCTTCAGCCTCGCTCCTCTCGCCTAAACTCTCAGGAACAGACTCCGGCACGGAAGGGGGAGGCACCCCGCCCACCTGTATGACTGGAACTCCGATGCTCCTGGCCCACTCGATGGGTTCTGAGCCGTGCAGCTGCACTATGTCGAGGCCCACGTCGTGCACGACCCGCTGAATGTACCGTAGGGGCTGATTCTGGAAGACACCAACTAGGAGGGGACGCGTCTTCCGCATGGGTGACGGAATGTAGGAGGCGTGGGTATGTGACGTGAACCAAGGAAGAGGAAGGTTCAGATTTTCGTCTTTACCCTCTTCTTCATCGGAATCAGTAGGTGGGAAAGCGTTGCGCACAGCCAAAGAGATCTCTCGCGCAATGTGCACGCTCACGCAGCGCTTTGAGCTAGGGACGAAGACGAGGCCAAGGAAGTCGGCGCCGGCGTTTGCTGTGCTGAGGGCTTCGGATGGGGTGAGAATGCCGCAGATTTTTACGAGTGCAGTAGGGGGGATTTGGGATGAAGGAGATTTTGGAACGGGCTCATCCCAGTCCAATAATTGTCTTATAAACTTGCCCTTATCTTCTGCGCGCATTAGCGATTCACCGACTAAGACAGCCTTCACCCCCTGCTCCCTATACGCCCGCACGTCAACGGGACTTTTGATGCCACTCAACGCACACAAGATGACCTCTCCAGTTTTACCTTTTTGTTCCAGAACTTCTGCAACGCCCGAAGTCGTGCTCATGTCAACAGTGAACGAGTGTAAGTTACGGTTGTTCACCCCAATGACCTTGGCCCCGACATCCAGCGCAATGTGAAGCTCGGACGGGGAGTTCACTTCCACCAAAGGTTCCATGCCGAGAGCCGTGCTATATTCGAGCAGTGCCCGTGTCCTGTCCTTGCCCAGCATCGCAACGATGAGAAGAACACTATCTGCACCAGCCAGGCGGGCCTCTACAACCTGATACTCGCTGAGGACAAAGTCTTTCCTGAGTACAGCGGGCCTGGAATCTAGCCCGTCTATGGCTAATCGGACGGCTCGCATGTCCTCGAGGTGACCGTGGAAGTATGTTGGTTCTGTGAGCACGCTGATCGCACTTGCGCCGGCGAGGGCGTAGGATAGTGCCGTGTGTGGGGCAGATGTGTGTGGAGCGATTGATCCGGCACTCGGTGACGCGCGCTTGATTTCAGCAAGTAGTGCCATCCCGTTGCGTGCGTGGAGCAGCCGCTGGGAGAGGGATATCGGCGGAGGTGCAAGGTGCAGGGAGAGATGTGCATTTAGAGCTGGAAGGGTGAGCCCCGGGGTGTTGGATAAGGCTTCAACATCGGATGTGCGTTTTTGTGCGATTTTTGTGAGGATGGAAGGGGCGGAGGACTTGGCGGCTTCTGTGGTGATGGATTTGGACTTGTCTGTAAGAGCGTCATATGGAAAGGGCGGCATCTCTGGGTCGTTCACTTTAGCGTGGGGGTTCTCCTCCCAAGTACCTCCTTTTAAAGATAGGAAATTCTTGAGGAGACCTTCACCCTCCTCTGATAATATGGATTCTGGGTGGTATTGCACGGCTTCGACAACATAGGTGCGGTGACGGACGCCCATTATGACACCCGAATCAGAGGTGGCACTGGTAGCCATGAGACAGGAGGGTAGGCTTAGGAGAGATGCGGAGAGGGAATGGTAGCGGGTGCTTTGAATTGACTGCGGGAGGGAGAGGAAAATGGAGCGGCCGTCGTGGATGACGGGGGATAGTTTTCCGTGCTTTATTTCACCGGCATAACTGGAGGGTAATGTGTTATTTCTGTATACGAAAAACGTGACAACTTTGGACTGACCCGATCTCACCACCGTATACATCGACGATACACTCCAAACCCATGCACACACCCATAACTGGGACTTTGCCTGCAAAATACTTGATCGCGTCTCTTGACACACCTGAATCAGTCTTTGGGTGTCCAGGACCTGGGCTGATTATAAGCCTGTTGATACGGAGAAGGGGAAGCTGATCTGCAGTGAGTGCATTGTTACGGACGACAGTGACCTGAGTGCCGAGAAGTGAGAGTGATTGGTAGAGATTCCAGGTGAACGAATCAAAGTTATCGATCATTAGCGTGTCTATGTCGCCGGAGAGCGTTGCAGGCAGCGGAGTAGGCGTCATCCTGGCTTTGGACTCCGGGGATGAAGCTAACAGCGATCTAACAGTACTTAAATTATGACTATTTAAACAGCTCAAGTCACGATAATAGATATTTTTAGAACACCGCCCGGCAAAATCTGATCATGCCGGTTTTAACCGTTTACTCTGTTGTGCAATCTGGTTTCTAGTTCAGCGCTCATTTCCCGTCTTCTCGGAGACAAGCATACCTGGGGTAACACTTAGGCAGCAGATACAATCTTATATTTTCGTTCGGCAGTCTCCACATCGTTGCTGTGTGTTTCAGATTCGGAATCAGTTTCAAGGGAATTGTTTCATCTGTACGGACCTTCGTATGAACCTGAAACACCGTGACTAGGAAAGGCAGAAGAACGCATGCGCGGAAGTTGCGGGAGAACTATTTTGAAGCAGTTCTACCAGCAGAACTTAGCAAAACCATGTTCTGCGCGGGTCAGTGTGGCAGGTGGCAGAATCAAGGAGAGATTTTGATGGCACTTCGACTGTTACATTGATGTGGGACCACTAGATATCAAGTGCGAGTCTTTGCATCGTGGTTCCATCACTATTATCCGATCGTCCACCGCTACTGTCAGTTTCACAGTCGAATGCTCTCCCTTCTAATGCTTCCGTCACATTCACATCCTAGTCCAAGGCACAGTTCTTTCCCCATTACAAATGTATTCTAGTCAAGCGAGATATGGACCATCAAGATCGTAGCTGGGCGGCCCCGACCTCACAGTACGGATCGTTTCAAGTTGTGGAACAAACGTGAAATCAGTGTCGATTTTGCCCTACCAACGTGGCAGAATGCAAAGCTTTGAAGCTTACCTATGACGAGTATATTACGTGAGTCTAGTGGCCTACCTGCAACTTTGTCAGTTACTCAGCCTACTATGCCAGGTACATTGTTGTCAGAGCCTCAACAACGAGGCACGCAAAATGTAGTGATCTACCACCAATCTAGCACAGGCCAACCCTGCCCCTTTGCGGCTCGCCTGGAATCGGCGCATCTAATGGCCATATGAGTTAGATGAAGGTCTTCCAGCTCCTTCGTAAATAGTTATGATCTAACGACCATATGTCAGGCAGATAAGGAATGGCGCAATGCACTCATCACACCGAATGGGAGGCTCTGGTCGTTCCCACAGAAGGCACGCCTAGATATGTACAGCACATCAAAACGCTATGAATGCAGGGCAAATCACTTCACCCACATGGACTGCCATGGACTTTTATCCAGCCTTCCAGGCGAGTCGCCTGACATACACAAATGGGGTTGTAGCGGACGAGGCGTTGCCAGCGACTGACAGCAACACCGCCATTCTCCGCACTTATGGGCTCGATGCAATTGCGATAGTTACAGCGCGCCCCGATGAAGTGACACTACCCGGAGTAGGACTCCTACACCAACACGAACCAGATGAATTATTGTATTTTCCTGTAGAAAAGCCATACTGAGGGACAACGAAAGACAGTATATCCAGCGCTTCAAGCAGCGGGTATGTCCTGACCGAATTATGGAGCCTAAAAATGCTGCTCAGCATTATTTGCCAGATGTTTATATCACTTGGACAATCTACTCACGCTGCAGCGCCTCTAGTCGAGAACATGTAAAAGATGACAGCCAGAAAACGAGAAGTCTGTTTCAGTGATAACTCCCGATGTGATCGGTCAGCCACTTGAACGTTCTACTTCACATCGATGGGTCAAGAGACCAGTAGCATTTTGGGCGAATTAGAGATGTGCGACACACCCTGCGCTGCGGGAAAGTGTAGTCAGGAATGCATAGGATGCGAAATTCTTCGTGAGTCTGCTGATGAGTATTGCCATACGATGGGCCACTACTAGCACTGCCCAAAAGGGACCTCCCCTGGCCTGAAGCCCCAAGCTATATAGGAATTCCGATCAGTGAAATGCTTTGCGGCACTTTTCGTCTTACCGGAAATCGGAGAGAAGGGCCAACACATTAAGCCCCTCGACCAATGGTCTTGCCTTGAGGAACATTGTGACAAATATATGGGCGGATGTAACCTCGAACTTGAGCGCTTGTGTTGCATCAGCTCATCCTATACAAGCCTATGGACTGGTGGCATACGATCGGTTACTACTCATTCCGCTAGGTCACTCGTTCTATCGTCATCTAGTCACACATGGCTGTCTTTATAGGCAATTTAAACTAATACATTAGTGATGCATGAGGTTAGCGACCTGATGCCTCTTCATGCGTCCCATGTCCGAACAGGTGACCGATCATATCGCGATCTCTATCATATAGGCTAGAGACGACATCTGATCGGACTCGCTTGGTTCACCCCGGGGGAGCTACCTGAAAGCAGCAGATAGCCCCCGTTATTTCTTGATTAACACACCACGACGTTTGCCGGTGAAGTAATATATTGCTAGTCTCCCCGCACTGCGCAGTGTGAAAGACTTCCACACATTGATCCTCGGGCTAGGTAAATAGATGATCAAGTTGAATTTGAACAGTAACATCAACTCCTGCCTCTGATTTGGGCCGGGCTCGACCTATATTTTGAATTTTACAGTTTACCGAAGTTTACCAAATGTTTGGTCGAGCTGTTACATAAAATTAAGACATACTGTAAATCACACATAGATATGACAATTAGAATTCACGATCAGAAGGGACACGGGGGTCCTATAGATCAGAAAGTACTGTCCTACATAGACTATAATCCTCGATGGATACAAGTTACAATGTCAATTTAGAAACAGTTTCCGATTTTGAATGACGCACATCGCACAGAATGAAGAACGCGTCAGACGAGTAATATTTTGGTGGGATGAGGATGTGTCTCGCACTAGAGCCTACTAGAGCCCTCATTGCGTACGCGTCGAAGCGTCATGACCCATTTCTCGGGAGTTATGATCTTCCGTGTGCGCTGGGCGGTATCCCATCCAGACGGCAAGTTTAAAAAGCCAAATCCGAGTGCATTTGCGAGAATTGCAATTGATATCAAACGTTGCTCAGGGGCGCCACATCCAGTGCAAACTGGCGCCTCGCCTTGTGTCGTCCTTCGGGTATCCTTGCCGGAAGGACCACCTGTTAGTCATCTCCCATCAATATTGCATGTGCACAGCCAAACCTTACATGCATCTGTCAGTGTCACACTGAGTTGGAAAAAATTCAACAACTCGTACCCACCTAAAGGCCGACTTCCCGAAAGGTTGTGAGGAAAAGCACATCTGCAAGATTTGATGGGTTGATTGGAGGAAGAGATATGCTGATAATCTATGAATTGTTAAAGTTCGATCATGTAATTTGCCGTCGTGGATGCCAAGTCTGATAGCAACTTTGTATTTACCAAATGAATAGCTGACGCCGGGACCCGTTCGTCGGTGTTGGAACATGGGCAAGATCTGCATTTGCCATCTACAGCAACAGCGCTTGAGCTTACAAGGACAATGAACATGAGAGTTCTAGGATAAAATTAGATTTTGCTCAAGTCTGGTTTAACGTGATCACCCCTTGGCGCCGGGTCTGCCAGGTCCAAATCGAGTTTCCGAGCGGCAGAAACTTGAAGAGACAGAGGTAGGTGATTTTGAAAGAGGAAAATGAAAGGTAAAGGACGAAAGAGGCTTTATGCTCGAGAGTTGGAGCCTTACTATCACCGGAAAGCGGCAATGCTGAAGCACTGATATGGGACTCGTAACCATCTGCCCATGCGTGTTATTGAAGGGCCCGTGGTAGACAAACTAAACCAGTCCAAGCTGGGAAACTAACTTATCAGAATTCAGATCAGGTTACTGCGGCGTACTTTTAATAGCCCGAATCAGAACAGCTGTCTTGAGGGGTCCTCTACGGATATGCAAGCAATGTACTGTCAAGTTATCACTTTGTATGCTCCCGTTGTGCTATGCTGATTCCTGTGCAAAGTGCGTGAGCGCGGTGAACAGCTAGTCGAAATGATGATGTGCCTTGTAGCTACTTACATCGACCCTACACTGCCACCGGTTTATGTTTAGCCTAATTTGGAGCACTGCCCGTATAATGGGTTATTTATTGCACCAGAAATGTATACAACGATCTTGTGACTGCGTCCATTTTCTCCTTCGTTCAGCTCTTAACTTCTTTTGGTTTCTTTTTTCTTTTACAGTACTTAATCTCGTTTTTTTTGTTTTCTTCCAGGGCCGGCCCACATTGATCAGAACCTAGCTTCCCTTTATTTTCATTCCTTGTCCTTCCGTTGCAACCCTCCAGGCAGGTACTTTGTTGCTGCGCATCTGTTTCAAAAGACTCGTTTGCGTCTGGCACGCTTTTCGTACTTCCACATTACCCTGAAACACCATGGCTACATCGTTGAAAGCAGAGCTAGACATATGGGCAGCAGCTTTGAAGGCATATGACGAGCAGGATTTCGAGAAGGCCCTGGATTCATTTTCGGTGCGTTACTCGTTTAATTAACTTTTGTCACATCTTAAATCCCTGCTGCAATAGCGCATTGCGGATTCCTCCAAAATTCTCACAAACATGGGCCTGATTTATGCCACGATTGGTGAGCATGAGGCTGCAGTCGAGCAATTCCTGGCTGCTATAGCTCTTGATCCGTTCCTTGCTATCGCGTATGTTATCTCTCAATTCTTGACTGTTGTGTCGTATTCATTTTAAGCTAACAAAACATTTCGGAACAGCTACTTTCAATGTGGTGTGTCTAACTTTTTGCTGAGCCGATACGATGTTGCTCTGCAAAATTTTAACGATGCGCTACTCTATCTTCGTGGAAACCAAGCCATGTCAGTGTTCTTTGTGAGCTTTTCTATGTATTGTTGTTCTAATTATTTTGCAGTAACTATGAACAAATTGGCCTCAAATTCAAACTGTTCTCACCTGAGGTACTCTTCAACAAAGGTCTTTCTCAAATTTATCTTGGCTACCCGACCGAGGGGCTAGCTGAGATGCAGAATGCGCGCAATATGAAGGTGACCGAAGATCACGACGTAATTGATGATGCCATTAAAGATCGTGGGGAGGGATATACGGT